AGAGTTGAGTATGACACCTAGGTTTTGAGCCTGCATGCCTAGAAGGATGGTGATACCCTCAGTAGTAATCAAGAAGTTAGGAAGAGGGGAATGTTTTGGGAGAAAGACAGTGAATTAAATTTTGACATGTTGAGTTTAAGATGTCTATGAGACATCCAGTTCTAGATGTCTAGAACAGTTGGAGATGTAAAGCTGGAGACAAGACTAGACAAGTAGATCTTAGAGTCATCTGCATAGAAATAACTGAAACTTTAGGAATTGATGAGATCACCAAGTGAAGTAGTATATAGAGAGAAGAGGGTCCAAAACAGAGCTGTGGGGTAGTCCCACTGTTACTGGGCATGATATGGATGAAGACCCAACAGAGGAGACAAGAACTGTCAGATAGGAGGAGAACCGGGAGAGAACAGCATCACACAAACCTAGAGAGAAGAGTGTATCAAGAAGAGGGTGTTTGAAGAAGCTGCAAAGAGAGGTCAAGAAGGATGAGGATTGGGAACAGGCCATTAGATTTGGCAATTAAGAGATCATTAGTAACTTTGGAGAGAGTAGGTTCAATTGGATGATAGATTGGCAGTCAGACTGTAGGGAGTTAAGAGAGAGAGAGGAGAGGAAATAAAGGTACCTATTGTAGATGGTCAAATGCTGTAGAGAGGTCAAGAAGGATAATAGTCCTGGACTTGTAAGAAAAGATCTTTCACTGGATTTATGATTGAGATGGTAATAATACCTAACATTTATATATCAGTTTAAGTTTGCAAAGTGCTTTATGCATGTTTTTGATAACTTTGGAGAGGACAGTTTCAGTTCAGTGATAAGTATTGTGTTTGGAGTCAGATGACTTGAGTTCAAATACTAACTCTGGCACTTTAATAACTCTGTGACCTCAGGCAAGTCATTTCACCTCTCTGTCAGGTTTCCTCATGAGTAAAATAAGAGAATTGGACTTACGTAACCTAAGGCCCCTTCTAACTCTACAGTCCTCTGAGGGTGGAAACTGGGTGGCAAAGGGATGAAAAGTGAATGAGGGGAGAAGTGGAGCTAAAGAATATAGACAACTTTTTTTTTTTAGTTTGACTGAAAAATGGATAGAGAATATAGGATGATAGTTTGAGGGGCTGGTTGGGTCAAATTAAGGTTTTTTAAAGTTGGGGGACACTGGATATTTTCTAGGCAGCAGAGGAGCCAGTAGATTGAGAGAAATTGAAGATTAAAGGGACGATGATTGAATAGACAGAGTGGTGGAGAAAGATAGGAGGGGATTGGCCCAAGGGTAAAAGTAGAGGGGTTGGTCTTAGCTAGGAAGAGGGCTACTTCTTCATCAGGTACTGGAGTAAAGGAGAAAATAGAGGATGAAAGTTGTTGACTGAGTAGTTGTCATCGTTGTCTTTCTGGGCTACTTTTCTGGCTTGTCCTTAGGGATTACTCCATGCACAATTAAGATTGATGCCATTCATTACTAGGATTCAAGCTTTCAGTCCTTGTCTTCTAGCCCTTTGAGTCTTAAGACCCTAGATATTATAAAGAGAAGTGTTTCAAAGAGGCAATGTAAGTTAAATGACTGGTCACAGTGAGTGCTCGGTAAAAGCTGTCCAGATCTGACATTTTCTGCCGTGTTGCTAGCTAAGAATGTCATAGCACTTCTCCTTGGTGCTGGGTGAAACAAAAGAGAAACCACACGTGTGGACACTCATACATTGCCCAAGTTCCATGTGTGTAGTGACGTAGGGTAGACCTGTTTGTAGGAATAGGGGTTGCACTGTGTCTTCCTTTCCTTCTACCCCACCCCCTTAGGTCATTGATAAATGCTTGTTGATTTATTCTGCCTTCTCCACCTCACCCCCAAGCTGATTTAGTTTGTGGTGCCACCTGGCGGCCAGTGCAAGAATTTTGTTGACCGCACTTCCCTTAGCTGCCCCTGTATTTTCTTTGAAGGTAATCATGTATACATATCTTGTTTTTCACCCTTTCCCTCTATACACAGTTTTATGATTTAAGCTCTACTTATTCCACCTCAGGCAATTTCTTTTTTTTAGCCATCTTTTTTTTAATTTTTGTTTTACTTTTTAAATTAACAAACCTGTTTTCTCTCCCTACATTCTACCCCATTAAAAAAGAAAGAAAAACAAATTCCTTCATTGGCCAGATTAAAAAAATATAAATTTGTCTCATTCTGTACCCTGAGATCTATCACTTCTCTGCCAGTAGGTGATCCTCTGAAATTATGAATGATCATTGGGTTGATCATAGTTCTTTTACAGCTTTCAAAATTGTTTGTCTTTATAATGTTATTGTTATTGTATAAATTGTACTTAATTCTGATCATCTTCATCAGCATATAAGTCTTCAAAAATGATTTTATAGTATTGATGTTTTAGTATAAATTATTCTTCTGATTTTGCTCATTTCACTCTGTTTCCATTTATGTTTTTCTATATCTCTTTGAAATCATGTATTTCCTCATTTCTGATAGCACAGTAGTATTCCATCTTATTTATGTGCCATAGTTTGTTCAGCCACTTTCAAATGGATGGGCGTCTCCTTATTCTCTAGTTTTTTGTCTTTACATAAAGAGCTACTCTAAATATTTTTGTACATATATTATCCTCTTTCCTTGATCTCTTGGTTATAGGTATAGCTGAGTTAAAAGGCATGCACTGGTTGGTAAATTTGCTTATAATTCCAGATTGCTTTGCATGTGAATGTACCCAGTCACAGGTCCGCCAATTTCTTTTTCACACAGACACATATCCCCTTTAATTAGGTTTTTTTTCCTAACTCTTTCCCTTTCCTTGGGAAAATATTTCATTACCTCCCAACTCCTCTTCTTTCATTTATGGATCAACAAAAATCCTTACATATGGCTTATAAGTTATAAAAGTGATGATATGCCTTTCCAGTTATAGGCAGTTATATAAAAGGAAAATGTTGTGTTTTAAAGTGAAGTTGGACATAACGAACAGCATTGTCATTCTCTAAAACCGCTGGTAATTCTGAGAAGTCCCTTTAAGCTTCTTAGTCTTTAACATCTATTCTAATTAAACCTATTTTTTCTTAAGCTTATTTGATTTGTGGAAAACTTTCTTTAAAAATTGCATTTCTTTCTGTTTTAATTACTTTATAGGGCTAGGAGAACTAGTACTGTGTACCTACACATTGTCTAAGAGTGATGGGGGGAGCACTGCAGCAGTGGGGAAGGGAGGGTCCTGGAGAGAAGGAGTTATTATTGCCTGTGTGTTCTTAGGCTCCAGGATGTAAGCAGGCCCTGCATGGTGAAATGATGCCTTCTTTTTGCATCATTCTGCTAGGCACTGAGGGGAGGCAACAGGTTTAAAAAAGAAAGGACCATATTTGTCCTTTCCTGCTGTGAATTGTAGACCTAGTAGGAAATGCAAAGGGTAAGAAATATGAAATGTTTTTGTGCTTTACCACTCCTCACTGGGGTATTGTGACTTGTTACAACCCATTTAGCTGTTTTTTTTTCTTCCAGTTATTAAACTTTTAAAAAAAATTTTCCTAACCACCTCCTCTTCTTCCTCTCTAACAAAACCTTTGTAACAAATATACACAGTTAAGCAAAGCAGATTTCCATGTTAACTGTGTCCAAAAATGTGTGTCTCATTCTGCATATTTAGTTTGTTACTTCTCTGTCAGGAAGTGGTTAGCATTCTATATCATTGGTCCTTTGAAACCGCAATTGATCATCGTATTGATCAGATTTCTTAAGTCTTTCGAAACTGCTCATTTAAAATTTTTTGTTATAAATTGTTCTCCTTATTCTGCTCCTCACTTTATATTATTTCATACCAGTCTTCCCAGGTTTTCTTTTTCACCCGTTTCTTATAGCACAATATCATTCCATTATATTCATCTATTATAATTTGTTTAGCTGTTCCCCAATCATTGACTATCCTCCAGTTCTTTGTCACTATAATAAAACTTGCTATAAATATTTTTTTATGTCAGACTTTTTCCTGTTAATTTACTATCTTTGGGATGTAGGCCTCAGTAGTATCAAAGAGGATGTACACAGTTTAGAGACTTTTTGGATATGGTTTCAAATTGCTTTCCAGAGTAGTTGGACCAATTTACAGTTCCAATAGTACATCAGTGTGCCTATTTTCCTGAAGCCCTCCAGTTTTCCTGTTTTGTAAACTTTGCTAATCTGATGGATATGAGGTAGAACCTCAGAATTCCTTTAATTCTCATTGCTCTAATTATTAGTGATTAGTAGCATTTTTTCCATTTTTCTGTTTCTGTAGCTCTAGATAGCTTGGATTTCTTCACTTAAGAACTTCTTGTTCATATCCTTTGACCATTTATCAATTGGGAATGATTCTTAGTCTTATAAATTTGAATCATTTCCTTATGTATCTTGGAAATGAAACATTTATGAGAGAGTGTTGCTGCAAAGATTTTTTTTCCTGGTTAACTTTCTCTTCTAATATTAGCTGATTTGTATTTGTGTAAAGCCTTTTAAATTTTATATAAAATCATCTACTTTATCTTCTGTGATCTTTATATCTCTTGTTTGGTCATGTATTCTTCCTCAGCATAGCTCTGAAAGGTAATTTCTTCCTTGCTTCTCCAATTCATTTATGATATGAGTTTTATATATAAACCATTTATCTTTTTTTCTCAGAAGTTTTTGTCAGATAGTGCATCCTTAACCCATTGACAGGGGTTTAAAAAAACAACTCAGTAAATCTTCAGAAACATCTTGGTGTAGTAGGAGAAAAGAATACAATAGGATAGATGACCTGGGTTCTAGTCTTTTTCTCTTCCCATTACTCTTTTGCCTCTTAATATCTGTGTGACCTTTGACAAGTAGTTAGCCATTGTGATCTTCTGTTCCTCAGTCAGGGACTGGATCAAATAAATTCTTAGGATCCTTTCCAGATCTCTGTTTCTGTCAGTAGTTCTTAACTATTTGCTCAACAAATGAATGAAATCCTGACCTGTCATGACTTTTCTAAATATCTTTTTTTTTCCTTTTTCAGAGTCTTCCACCAGCCTAAGTGGATCTGACAGTGAGAATGAGGAGAAAAGACCTGTGTCTAGCTCCTTCAGCAATGACTTCAAAGCTGACTCCCTTGTGGAGGGCACCTCCTCCCGTTATTCCATGTACAACAGTGTTTCCCAAAAGATGATGGTATGTTAGAGTCTATGTTTTGAAAGATTTGCCATGGAATGAGAGAAGAGAAATCTACACTGGGTGTGGAGAAAGTTTTTCTAGCCACTTTCTAGATACAGATTCTGGGGAGAATATGGCTGCTTTTCTAAACTTAATGAAATATGGCTACTTTTCTAAACTTAATGAGACATCATACTAGTACATGTTAGAGATGAGTGCTAGGGAAAACTGAAGCAAGAAAATTTCTCTTGTTTTGGACAGAGGAAGACTCTTTTCTGGTCTCAGGAGACTTTGTATTTCAGTTGTGTTAGGTTCTCTCTTCAGATGCACACACTCAAACACAGGTATCCTGCTGTTATTAAAGAGAATTCTCAGGTATATATTTATAAGTGAATAGAAATTGTAGTCAGACTCCCTCACTAAAGTCTGATTTAATAAGATGACTGCTTTTCCAGAGGTTCTCAGCAACTTCTGGAGGCTGTGATGAATGGAGAATATCTTTCTCTTTTTCCTTCCCAGTTGGAGTTGATAAGGATCTTTCCAGTGGAAAATCTTTCTTCTTGATTTTGTTTTGGGTTTTTCTTTTTTCTTTTTTTTTTGTTGTTAGGCAATGGGGGTTAAGTGACTTGCCCAGCTAGTAAGTGTTATGTGTCTGAGGTTGGATTTGAACTCAGGTCCTCCTGACCCCAGGGCCGGTACTCTATCCAGTGCACCACCTAGCTGCCCCCATTCTTCTTGAAATGACTCTACTTTAATCATCTGCACAATATTAATGTTATGTCAAGAAGGAAATTAAGCAGGAAAATCTAGTTTTCTGCAAATTTCAACCTATTTGACTCTGCATGGGGGAGGGAAACTCATCTTACTTGCCAGTTAGAAACAGATGGAAGTAGCAAGCTACTTTTTAAAACCCTATTTGTCAGGTCTCTGTTGTGTTGGTACAGTAATGGGAATAGCTGTTTCTGAAGTCATAGGCAGAATGCAAATTTTGGGCCATAAATACTGGATGAGGGGAAATGGGAAGTTTTGGGGTGTGGCTCAGGGTAACACAGGAAAAGGTAACTCTCTTGATCTTAGAGAATGAGTTTGTGGCTATAATGGGAACTTGATCAAGAGATCATGTTACTTCTTCCCTGTGTGTCAATGATGTTATGTCTCCTAGATGGAGGCCCATGTAAAAGAATGAATCCCTGGTAGAAATTATAGCTTCTGGAAACCTTTGTGTCTTATCAAGTAGACGCATGCCACATTTGGGGAGTAGTTCCCCTTCCCTCAGGGTGTATAGCTGATGAGTCCCTCCAGGATTTAGTTTAATCTTTGTGAGCAGTTGTACCTTTTTTACGGTTTCACCATACCAGGACCCTATTGTGCTTTTCAGACCTCAGTTTTACATGATGAAAGATTTAAGTTAATTATATCATTAAGCAGCTCATAGCACTCCTTGTTGCCCTTGCCTCATGGGGTTGTTCTTCCGAACCGGAGTGATGTAGAGGTTACTCCTTGAAGCAGTTTCATTTTAAATGATACTCCCTTTATCACCTCTGTGCTCTGGATCTACTTTTCACTTAATCAGGGGAATTAGCTAGAAGGGCAGTCCTATGAACCTCCAGTGAGATTCATTAAATGTTCCTGGTGCTTTAATTACAGCTGTGTGGTCCTTTCTCATTTATTCAGCTACCAGTTGGCCTGGATATACACTCAACTGAACGCAGTTACCGTCACTAATTATCACTAATGATGCTCCATAATTTCTCTCTCTTTTTCAGGCAAAGATGGGCTTCCGAGAAGGTGAAGGTCTGGGCAAACACAGCCAGGGTCGGAAAGACATTGTTGAGGCCTCTAATCAGAAAGGTCGAAGAGGCTTAGGGCTGACACTAAAAGGTTTTGACCAGGAACTCAATGTGGACTGGAGAGATGAACCAGAGGTAACTAAAATCAAACTTTGTCAAGTTTTGGGCACCACGTTTTAGTTGGGATGTTAACATTGGTGTGCACCCAGAGCAAGGGAGCTCAGGTAGTATGAAGGTTCTGGAAACCCTTTCATCTGAGGAATGTTTGAAAGAGCTGGGGATATCGAGTTTGGAGAAGAGAAGACTAAGGGAGGGAAATGAACTTTGTCTTAGAATGTTTTAAGGCCTCTCATGTGGAAAGGGGAGTAGACTGATTCTTTGTTTCTTGGAAGGGGAAGAAAAACCCAGGACCATTTGATGGAGGTTGCAGGGAAGCAGCTTTTAGTTCAGTGTAAGAAACAGTCTCGTAACGATGCAGGCTTCAGGAGAGTGGAATGAGCTGTTCCCTGAGGGAAATGAGCTTTCTGTCATTGGCAGTGTTAGATTAGGGGAGGGGATTCTATACTGATGCTGAGGTGGTCTAGGTGGCCTCTTAGGTGCCTTTTTAACTTAGAAAATTTTATGGTATCTTGATTCCAAATTGCCATTTATTTATCAGTTAGTCCCATGTGATATTTATAGTGTGTTTATTCTTTTTGTCACAATTTAGACTCCAGTTTGTTTTAGCTCTGATAACAAAAAAATGCACCTCTTTTGTTGTACTTATGATGTTAGTTGATATTTTATGTTTGTTCTGATGTTCTAGTGCAAGGAGGACAGAGATCCTACAGTAAGCATAGAAAATGATAAAAGCCTAATAAGGTTTCATCGTAAGGCACTGAAAAGCTGAGAGCTAATGAATTCTGGTGGTGGTCCTGCTGAGTTGCCTTGTGGCTGCTGGGGAAAAGACTAGCATGTGACAGTGAGGTTTGGGCAAATATTTGTAATTGGTTGTTACATGTAGCCTTTCTCCTTAGAAGTGCAGAATACTTTTCCTTGGCCTCATTTGTATGGAAATATACAAAGATCCTGGGTATCCTTGGTAAAACAGAATTAGAATTGACTATTTAATCTCAAGTCTGCTAAAGCAAGCCTCCTATAATTGTATTCTTAATGATTGGAAGGAATAGAACATTTGGTTGTGCCTATTCTAAACTTTCAGGTTGCCATAATATAAATTAGTTTTTTTCTTTAGAAAAATTGCTTAAAAATGGCTTGCCTTACAGTCTAATATTCACATGGTATCCTCTAGAATCAGAGGCAACAGTAGGTGGTTGTCTTTATCTAAAGGCATACTGGGGGACCTGGATTGGAAGCCTGTTGGTTGTGGCTGGTAGCCTTTGGAGATTTTCCCTGACTGGGGGCCTAGTGTGTGTACTATCCTGCAGCCAGCCTTCGCCAAGCAGTCACGTCTGCCTTGTAATATCATCTTAGAACTTTCTCAAAGTATGATACTACTTTTTTAACAATTTATTTTCATTAATGTCTTTTGTTTTTATATTACATAAATTTACAAATATATCCCTTCCTCCTCTTCTTCAGGGAGCCATGTTTCAGAAGAAAGATTTTTTTAAGAAATAGAGGAGAAAAAAGCAGTTAGCTAAGCTAGTTAACATAAGATATGGGTATTACTTTTAATGTAACTTGTAAGGGCAGTTACAAGCTGTGTATGACCCCAGAGCTGGTCACATCTAACCTTATTTTGTGCATTGGAGTTGGCCACTTTTCTCTTAAGCGGACAGAGTTAAGTTTTGTCATTAGCCTTATAGAGTTAAAGTTGGCAAAGTGCTGATTTTTAACTGAGATATCTCCACTTGACTGGAAGTAGAACTTCATTTAGTTGGCTTCAGGTGACATTGTGAATAATGCTTTAGAAAAAGGCCAAAGGAGAGAGCTGCTTCATATCTGTGATCTTTCCTGATTTCTGGTGGAGGAACTCTTAAGGTTTGGAAGGCAGTTTCAAGGCTCAAGAGGTTAGCTTAGAGCTAGAAGTTTTCTTCAAAGGTTGAAACTTAAACAACATACTGGTTCCCAGCTTTGATCTATGTTTATTCATTCTTTACTTGCTTAATGGCATGGTAGAATGGAAAGACCTGGATTTGAATCCTGATACTTATGTTATCTTGGGCAAGTCACTCTATTTTTCTTGGCTTCAGGTTCTTCAACTATAAAATGAGAGAATTGAATTGAAAAGTGCTTAAAAGTTGCTTCCAACTCTAAAATCCTAACATTCTATTAACTCTATTCCACATTCCTTTCTTCTACCTTCCCATGCTAGAGCCTTTTGCTTTTGGTTTGATTTAGAACGTTAGAGAGTCTGGATTCCACCAAGGATTCCTTTGCAAGACTGCCAGGCTTACTCACCTTTTTTTGTTCTATTTTGTAGCCAAGTATCTGTGAACAGGTGTCATGGTTCCCAGAATGCACCACTGAAATTCCTGATACCCAGGAAATGCGTGAGTGGATGACTGTGGGAAAGGTAAGGTTGAACACAGAGAACACCCTTCATTTTTGACACTAGTTGTCTAAATTTTCTCCATCTCACCTGTATTTTATACAACAGTGCAGGTTAGACAGGTTTATGAGAGCTTAACTGTACTGTCAAGATCCAAGTTTTCTCAGAAGATTAGGTTTTATTTGCCTGGGAGGCCTGGCATAGTTTTCCTTATGTCAGTTAACTTATTGGTCAGCACAGAATGCCGAGTTCCTCTCTTTACTGTTGCTTTTCTTAACCGTCATCTGATGGAATTTATCAGCCCTACATGTGTGTTTTAGACTGTGCGGAGTATCCTTCCTGCCAGATAGTTGAATAGTTAACAGTCCTTACCCTCAGGTAGCATGTGGGAGGATGAGGGGCTAGCTAGGGAGGTTGTAGAATCTCCCCCTGAAGAATTTTAAGTATAAAGCAACCAAGTACCTCCTTAAGATAATAATCCTGGGAGGATCCTCTGAAGATGCTGCAGTTGGACCTTTATAGTCTCTTACAGCCACGTAAGACAGGATTCCATTAGGCTCTCCTTTCCCATTCTTTCTGATGTATGTTTTAAGAGTTATCTCTGGAAGGAACCTTAGAGACTATGTAATCCAGCCCTCTCATTTTTACCAATGAGGAAGCTGAGTTTCAGAGGATTGAAGAGACTTGTATACCTGTCTTCTGTTTGCCTTAGTTTAACACAATGCTTGGCACATAGTAGACACTTAATAAATGCTTATTGACTGACTGACAAGCTGTTTCTGGTATCTTGAATTTAGTCCCTCTCACCTTTCAGAATTCTTATTCTCGTATAGCCCAGGTGACACCTCTCCTGAGAAACTTTTCCTGATTTCCCCACCCATCCACCCCATCTTTAGTGTTCTTTCCTTTCTCAAAGTTTCCTAGAATACTGGGTCTGTTCTCTTTCTTGACCTCTTTTGTCCTGTCCTACACCTTATTATATTTACCTGCTTTTTTATTTTAACCCCCCCAGCTCCTTGAGCTAAAAAAAAAATTTTTTTTTGCCTTACCCCTTGAACTGTAATTAATGAATATTACTTGAATTGAATTGCTCAGGGTCAAAAAGAATAAGCAGCACCAGTACTCAAATGCAGGCTTCCTGTTCTGTGTTCTTTCCTGCTTTACTTCTCTAGGAGATTATAAATTCCTGGAAGGCAAGCAAGGTCCTTTATTATTTCTCCTATATCTGAAGAAGAACTTTTAAAAACTTTTTACATACACTGGACGTGGGCTTGCTCTCTTCTCTTGTGCAAATACAGGGTATACTCTCATTGCTCTTTTCAACCATTGGGAGGCACTATGGATAGAAAGCATTCTTTGAATATTTAACCTTTAAGGAAATGCAGTTAGAAATTTCTTTTTTATTAAGTAAGAATACTCATGAAGAACCTTCTAGAATTGATATGACAACACTTCCCATACTTCTTTTTATTTAATAATACATTGAGACATGAGATCTTTCTGGGATAACTGTATATCTTAAGATGTGTTAAATATTTAACTTATGCTGCATATAAAGTAAAAAATGGTGAGTATAATCATTTAGGGTCATATATCTCTTTTAAATATGAGTATCTTTTAAATATCTTGAAACTAAGAATTATATAGATGAGCTGACTGCTGCGCATACTTCATCCTGATGCCCAATTATATGTAAAGTACCCCTTTTATCAAAGGAGGAATTAAAGCAAGGAAGGTAAGTGACTTTGAAGTTAGGAAACACAAACATGCAAAACCACATAGACTGAGGCATATGAAAAAGGACCAGCTTCTGTTCTAGTCACCTTCCTACCTAGATACTTTATTGCTCAACAGTGCTAGAAAACACTGAAGAACCTTTTAATGAAATAAAGCTACAGGAGGTAAAAAGCAATTATCCAAGTTCTCATTTGGCTATATATTAAATATACTTGTTCTTGCAAGATGTACTACAAGGTTTTTCATAGTGACAAATGAATAGGACAAGGTTTAGCATAGCTCTCTAACCCTGGTTCTTCCCTGTTCTTTACCTTTCTTGAGCTCTAGGGAAAGACAATTTGAATGTCTTTCTTCCTATTTGCTTTCTCTAATAACAATAAACATCTTATCTATGTGGTACTCAAGTCGATTGACAAATTTATCTAATATCTACAGCCAGAAGAATTTAGGATCTTTGTCCTTTCTCCTCAGGGAATGAAGTACCTAGTGACTACCTAGTTCAAGTTAGTGACTTGAATCCTGACTCTCTCAACTCATTTAGAGGCATGTCAAAGGAACGTGGGGATTTTGTTAACGTCTTATCTCCCAGGGAACTTGATCAACTTCTAGGCCTGGTTAAAATTGCCCTTCAGAATGACTAATCTTGTCTGGGAAAACCCTGTAGACTTTGTGGTTGACTTCCTTTACTCTCTCTGTACCCTCACATAGTTGCTACCACCCCAGGTGTCTTCTCATTTGGTCTTTACTTTCTTCCCCTCACTGCCACCGTCCCCAATATCAATCAACAAACTTTTATTAAGTGGCCCAAATCCACATGTTTCCCATTCTGTGGTGGTAATGTGCTTGGTGCTGAGGCTATAAAGACACAACAAATGAGGTAGTTGATGCCTTCTGTGATCTTACATTCTATTAAGGGAGATAACATGTACATTGTCAAATATGTACAAAGTAAAGACAGAATATTTGGATGGGGAGGCACTAATTGCCTGGAGGATCAGAAAAGGCTGTATGTAAACCTCAACCACAGTTAAGGCTTAACATGGGTTTAATGTTATAAGGACTGGATAAAATTGTCCAATGTCTATGTGAGACTTCCTGAGAGAGAAGTTAGTGAATGTGCTGGTCCAAATTCCAGAGTTTTGTATAGCTTCTGTAACTAAACTAAATTAAGATTCATCTTCTGTCTGACCCTCTTGTCAGATTCCTGTCTGTTTCTGTGCCATCTATATCCAGTCTTCTGTTCTTCCCCCATATCCCATGTGTTTCTCATTTTACTAAGTCACAGTTCAGCTTTTAGCATAGAACCTCTCCTTCAAAAGTGTACCTCTTACAGACTTAAAAGTTGAAAGTATATACTATAGTTAGAATTCCTCCAATGTAATTTCTTTAAGAAGCCAACTCTCCTTACTCAGTCATCTTCTGATTCTAGTTAAGTATGATAATGATTTACCTTTCTCTATGCCTTTGTATCAGAGGAAGATGATAATTGAAGATGAAACTGAATTTTGTGGGGAAGAGCTTCTGCACAATGTCCTGAAGTGCAAGGTATGGTGGCTGGCACGTAGTAGGCACTTGAATGCTTGTTGAATTGGAAGGTAAGGCTTTTCTACTGGAGGTAGATTCAAGAGCTCCAATTTAGCAAGCTGCCTCTGTGAGCTCTTTACTGGGTAGATTGTGGAGAGATAATTCATGCATTTCATTCCTCAGGTTTTTTCTTAGGTTAAACAGATTTTTTTCAGAGAAGAAATCTAGATTGGTATTCCCATTTTTCTAAGGTATCCTTTAACCTGCTTGTTCTTTCTGGTAATTTTCCTGTCCTGTGTCACTGGAGTGATCCGGATGGTAGCTACTTTTAGAGGCAGAAAGAATGGGATTTGGGTAATAGTAATTGGAAAAGGGAAAAAGTTGATAGAGAAGGGGAAATCTCTTGGCTTAGTCTATCCTCTACAGAGCTATTTATTTATTTATTTTTGCTGTGAACTGTCTTTCCTGGGACTTGGCTGGCAAAAGGCTCAGCATTTAGGGCTGTTTGTCTCTGGAATGGGACACAGATGAAGATGGAACTTTTCTTTTTCTGGATGCCAAGAATTACCAAAAAATCACAATTTCATTTTTTTTTTACCAAAGAGCTGGGTTTGAGTGATCTTTAGAATATTAACTCTTCCCTTTGGGAAGGAGAAACAGCCAGGTATGAGATGTGGGCATTAGCAACAGCAAGAGAGACTTCTGTACACAGCACTAATCCAAGCCTCTGGAGGGTTCTGAAGGGGAGACAGTCAGGATCCTCAGGTCTTTGAGGGCTCCTATGGCTGAGACATTGGTGTGATGCTCATTTTGTATTTCTGGTTTTCTGTTGGCAGAGTGTGTTTGATGACTTGGATGGAGAGGAGATGCGGCGAGCTCGGACCAGGTCCAATCCCTATGAAATGATCCGGGGAGTCTTCTTCCTAAACAGGTTTTGTGAGCACTTTTCTCTCTGTACCTTTTCTGTCATTTCTTTTTACCTGAGCCTCAGCTTCAGGGTGGTTTGAGTGTAAAAAGTTACAATTTTCCTCTTTTGCTATGTTGCAGAGCAGCAATGAAAATGGCCAATATTGACTTTGTATTTGATCGTATGTTTACGAACCCAAAGGACTCATTGGGGGTAAGATCCAATCTTTCTTTACTTACGATTCTATGGCACCACATGGCTCTAAGCTCAAAGATGGCCACTTGTGAAAATCTGGGAGGATGATGCAGTTGAATGGTTCTTATGGGCTCTGCCTTAGACTTCTCTGTGGTCCCCAAAGGTAGGCTAACTAAAAAGTACCTCAGGCAGCAGCTACATCCAGGCATTCAAGTGTAAGCCTCTGTCCTCCTAAGTGTGTAGAAGCTGTTACTTAGTGCAGGCCAGGTAGCCAAGGGTCAAGATGCTTCCGGAGTTGAAGCAGTCTGTATGGGCTTAGGCCCCCGAAAATGAGAGAGCCATCATCGGCAGAGCAGTCTTCCTTTAACAGAGACCGTAGGGGAAAAGGGAAAAACTCACGTTGGTTCTTGCTGTAAATGATGGTGGTAGACATGCAGAGAGTGAGAAATCTGAAATCATCCCATGTTAGTTTTTGCCTAGGTTTTGTGTGTCAGGCAACAAATCCAAATGGCTTTTCAGAAGTATCATGGTGTCATAGAAGGAAACACTGTCCTGGCAAGCAAGAGACATTGGTTCTTGTCCCCGTCTTCACTTGCCACTTAGTCCTTAGGTGACTTTGGGGGAAATAACTAACTTCCAGGGCCTTGGTTTACTTATAAAACAAGGATAAGGATATACTCCTTAAGGGAGGGGGTGAGACTAAATGGCTTCTTGAAATCCTAAATATACAAACATAAACGTACATTGCAAAAGGCAATAAATATGTGTATGTACATAGGTAGATAGGTATGTATATGTGTATACACACACACACACACACACACACACACACACACACGTGTATGTATATGTATGGCTGCCTTTGGATTTGCAGGTCCAACCTGGAATAAAAAGGATTTTTACCCACTCAGAATTGCTAATTTAATAAAATTCACTCTACTCCTCAAAGATAAAGGCTTTTGTTTGTTTTTGTTTTTTGCCTTTTTTTTGGTGAAGCAGTTGGGGTTAAGTGATTTGCCCAGAGTCACACAGCTCGTGAGTGTTATGTGTCTGAGGCTGAATTTGAACTCAGGTCCTCCTGACTCCAGGGCCGGTGCTTTGATTGTTAGAATGCTAGAGAGTTGCTTTCTGCAGTCTCATGTTTCAGCTTATACTTCACTAACTGCTTCACAAGTGTGCGTGCTCGTTGGTAGATCCAAGTATCCTACAGTCATTTCCCTCTACTAGGCATTTCTGTATTTCCCAACTGCAGTAGCCAGCAGGAAAAGACTGTTAGAATTGGTGCTTTGAGAAAATTTAATTGGAATAATGTTGATTTAGTTTTCCAAGTTCCAAATGATTTCCCTTAAGCCCCTGAGAGCAGAGGAATTCTGTCAAGTTTATGGGAAAGCACAGTATCATTCTGGGCTTTTAAATGTAAATGTCTTCGGCACCTGTTATCTGCTTATTGCCTTTTGCTGAAATGAAAATGAAGAAGTCACTAAGACAGTCCCACTCGTAAACTGTGGGTGGAAATGTTAGTATACAGAGAAAGGTGTTTGTGTTGTTTGGGTCAGGGTAGTTTCTTGGCTTGAATTGGTTGCTAATGGCTGTAGAAAATTGCCCTTTAAGAAGTGTTTCTCCTAATTCCTCAAGGAGAGAGCACTAGGTGTTTTCTTCTGTCTTCTCATGTTTGCTATCCCCTCAGGACCAAATTGAGAACCAGACTGAGCAGGCTGGTTGTTTTTTTCCTGGAGAGCACAATAGAATGCTTTAGCAGGGACAACAAGCTGCATTCTTTTTTTTCTTTTGGCAATTGGGGTTAAGTGACTTGCCCAAGGTCACACAGGTAGTAAGTGTCAAGTGTTTGGTCTGAGGCTGGATTTGAATTCAGGTCCTCCTGACTTCAGGGCCGGTGCTGTATCTACTGCGCCACCTAGCTGCTCCAACATTCTTACAACCAACCCTCTTGGAGGATGAATAGCCCTTGTGCTAGTCAGGTTTGCAGAATCCAAGCCCAGGACCCCTTGAAGGATTGGGGGGGATGGGATTTGAGGGTTCTTGTAGGGCTTCCTGGGAGTAGAAGATACTGCTCTAGAGAATTTGAGAACTATGGAAAACAAGGAAGATAAAGTGTAAGGCCTGAAGGGCACAAAAGAAATCGAGGAATTGTAGCTGCTCCTTAGTAGGGTAGAGAGAACCTGGAAGAGAAGTCAGGACAAAGAAACACTGACTCTGAAGTATAATAAGAGGTAAGGTAGGAAAAAAGGTGAACTGAGGTCTTTAATTTTTTTAAAAAATAATTATTTTTAGTTTTCAGCATTCACTTCCATAAGATTTTGGGTTTTAAATTTTCTTTCCCTCCTTGTCCTCCCCAAGACTTCGTGTAATCTGATGTAGGCTCTACTTATACATTCATATTAAGCATATTTTCCCATTAGTCATGATGTAAAGAAGGATTAGAACTAGTGGGAGGAACCATGAGAATGAAGCAATAAAACAAAACAACAGAAGAAAAGGAGAGCAAATAGTATGCTTCCATCTACATTCTGACTCCATAGTTCTATCTCTGGATGTGGGTGGATAGCATTTTCTTTCCATCATGAGTCTTTTGGAATTGTCTTAGATCCTTGCATTGCTGAGAAAAGCCAAGTCTATCAAGGTCAGTCATCGCAGTGTGACTGTTAGTGTATACAATGTTCTCCTGGTTCTGCTTACTTCACTCAGCATCAGTTCAAATAAGGTCTTTAAGTTTTAATTCTGTCCTGAAGAGTCTTAGCCTTTGGGCATTTTTGAAACTCTGTGTACTAGAAAAATGAAAGAGAAAGAAAACAAGAAAAAAATGTAGTCAATATTGGTTTCATAGAACTGATGATGTAACACACTTTTTGTTAAAGAGATGCAAACCATTATTTATAGTTTTACATTATATTATAGATTTAAGCTTAAAACTGCACCAAGACTTTTGAGATGTCCTATATATTCTGTCAGTCATGGCCTCTGTATCAAGACAGCTTTGTTTATCTGTTTTGTCTTGCCTTTTTGACACAGATACATACATATAAGGGAGATACTAGGGAGGAGTTATTGGGAAGCATTTGTGGTGTGTGGAAGAAAATTCTGTACTCAGGGTGTTAGGCACACATTTGCCAGAAATAATTTTTATTCATTTAGATTTAAATAATTCCAAATATTTCTGCTTAGAGTGAGATCAAGAGATGATCAGAGTATTTGAAAATCTCTAATACTAGACATTTTGGAATTAAAATTTATAATATTTGCAGAAAAATAGACAAAATTCCACAGTTAAGATTCAGCAAGGGTTCAGAGTATAGGTAAGAGTCTCAGAATATTAGCAATTTAAAATATTGGTGAGATCATTAAATCCTTTTTTGACCACTCCTGGAAAATAAGGATTCTTCTTTTCACCTCGCCAAAGATAAACTCATGAGCTAGCTCCATTATTTGAAGGAATCAAAGACTCTTCCTTCCTTTGTAGTCTGACTAGTACCTGGAGTTGTTCTAGATGTCAGAAGGTCCCCCACTTTCTACCTGTCACCTCCTTCCTCAGCTTTCACCCATTTTCCTTAAAGGAAGTAGTTAGGAGATAAAGGTTTTTGTTCAGAGCATTATTTCTGAATTGGTAGTTTAAGAAATATTGCCAGGAATTTCTCATTCAGATTAGATCCAGGGCTTCAGACTAAAATTCTGTCCAATGTTGTCTTGTAATAAGTAACTTAAAGAAGTTGGGGGTAGGGGAAAGGTTGGTAGTTTTCCCAGCTGTAAACAACAAAATGAATCAACAAAACATTTTTTAGAAATATTGGATGTGGAGGGGCAGCTAGGTGGCACAGTGGATGGAACACTGGCCCTGAAGTCAGGAGGACCTGAGTTCAAATCCAGCCAAAGACCAAACACTTGACACTTACTAGCTGTGTGACCCTGGGCAAGTCACTGAACTCCAGTTGCTTTAAAGAAAAATAAAAGCTGAGAGAAATATTGGATGTGGCCTTGTGCATAAGGAACTAAACTTAAGCCTGAATTAAGTCTATTCAAGTGAGAGATGAAGCTATTGCTGTCTCATAAATAAGTCATATATGTAGAAATCTCAGGACCTTAGACTGAATTGAATTTTATTTTTAGAGGTGGTGATTATCTTCATTGGTACATCCACATGCTTCCACTCTTCCTTGTGACCAGTGCATCGGATTTATTAGGCTGAGTCAGTGGCAGAAGAAAACTGGCTTGTTCTTTTCAAAACCAGCTGATCCTATAGATCTTAAATCTGTGACCATGGCCGCATTAGCACTGTGCTCTTGCTACCTGAGCTAACCAGGGCTTACATAGAAAGTGCATTACTGTGTAAATGCTACTCAGTCTTTTTCATTTGTGCAAATAAATGCCGGTGAATCTAGACTGACCAGAATACAGGAGTACTGATGGGATCTCAGGCAGGGAAGGTGGGAAGCCTCAGAATTCATGTGCCACTGCCTACCTAAGACACAGGGAGGGATTTTTCCAAGAAAACTCTAGCAGGCATTTGAAGCCTGTTTTTGGTTAGCACCTGCTGGCATTCAGAAGCCCCTTATCTAGAGGTTCTCTCATTACCTAGGGAAAGCTCAGCTGCCATCACTAGGGTTCCCTTCTTGTACCCTCTTTCCCCCTTCCCTCCAAAGGGACTACATTTTGGAAGTTGCCAGCTGTTTCCTTTGTTTTGACTATGCTTTCAAAGCCATTTGATTTCCAATTAGAAATATGTTAGAGCTCTGAATGCTTATTCCCCCAGTGTAAGGGTATGAATTATCCCCATTCCTTTGCTTTTTGGCAGAGTGCTCTGGAAAGATTGCGGATGGTTAGGACTTCTCTCCCATTTTTTTATTGTGCTCCATAGAAACCTCTTCTATAGTCTTCAAAATTTATAACAATCTCAGCATTTTTCAGTCATCAAGACAGTGATAATATTTTTCCTCCTTTGCAGATAAGAGAGAATAGCTGTGTGAACCTGGGAAAGTAATTTAATCACTCTTAGTCTCAGTTTCCTTATCTGTAAAATGGGAATAGTAATAGCTGTAGCTACAGCCTCACAAGGTTGTTCCATAAATCAAATGGACTAGTGTACTTAAAGCACTTTACAAATCTTAAATTGATATAGACATGTTGATTATTGTGACTATTAAGGCACTAGTGATGAGCAGGAACATATTTCTACCACCTTTTAAAGGAGCATTACAGGCCGCATGGTCTGATCTAGGGCGTAGGCCTGACTCATCTTGCAGGATGAAAACAGTGCTCTTGGGCACTCTTGGCAATTGGAATGGCATAAGTAGGGGAAAAGGGAGAAGGAAAAAGAAGGGCAAGTGGAAGGTGATGGAGGGAATGGAAGCAAGAGGAATGAAGGAGAACATGCATGTAGTAATGAGAGAAGAGTACCAGTGATGACAGCTTTAGTTGCTCATTCCTTTTAATGGAAAGATTAAAGGCCAGGGCTCAGAAAGTCTGGGTTTTAAACCTCCTGTTAACTGTCTGGCTGACCTTGAATAAGGTATTTAATTTCTCATTTTTCCCAGGAATAAATGATAATGCTTTGTCCTGTGTTTTTAGTGGGGTACTTGTGAAGATACAATGAAATGACATGGGGGAAACATTTTTGAGAAGAAAAAAAGGCCAAATTTTAGGAATGACTGATTGCATTGTAGTTTTTATTAGGGAGTTGATGTAGTAGTTACAGAAAAGGCTTGAGAAGCTGTTCTGGAGAGGAATCATCTCCTGCCTGTGGATGGAAACGTACAGCATTGGTGAGAAGAGGATCTGGCAGAGATTGTGCTTGGTGCAGTGGTCCTGGAACCAGATTTTGCTAGTTTAGTGAGAAAACAGTTCTTCCCTTCTTCCCCTTTAAATAATCCCTACTGAATTCCTTTCCTCTTCTCTTCTCTCCCCTCCTCTCTTCCTTTTCCTCTCTTTTCCCATCCTCCTTTTATAGAAACCCCTGTTGAAGGACCGGGATGCAGAGCTTCTGTACTTTGCTGATGTATGTGCAGGCCCTGGCGGCTTCTCTGAATATGTGCTTTGGAGGAAGAAGTGGCATGCAAAGGGCTTTGGAATGACCTTGAAAGGGCCCAATGACTTCAAGCTGGAGGATTTCTATGCAGCTTCCAGTGAACTCTTCGAACCCTACTATGGTATGCATTATGGAGAGGGGAATTAATCTTCGCAAAGGACAGATGGTCCTGTCGTGTTGTAAAAGTGAAACACAATCCTGGCAGTTGTGTCAGTCTTGTTTGGCTCTCTTTGTCTTGGGGTCCAAACAGTTAATTAATAATGATCATGATAATAATAATAATAACATTTATATAATGCTTTCAGGTTTGCAAAGCACTTTACAGATATCCCAGTCGATCCTCACAGCAACCTTGGGAGATAGGTGTTTTATTCATCCCCAATTAGAGATGAGGAAACTAAGGCAGATAGAAGTTAAGTGACTTGCCCAGGATCACCAAGCTACTAAGTGTCTGAGACTAGAATCGAATTCAGCAGCTCACCGTATCAGCACGTGCTTGTTTCTTTCCCTGTCTAGTTTCTCTACTTCAGTCCAGCTGCATATAGTTTAAACACCAGTCATGGCAAATTCTTGTCAAAGTTATTCATTCTCCCCTTTCAGAGGGAACTCTTTGCTTATAGTGACAGAAAGTAATGAAACTATATAATCCTTTGCTGAATGATGGCAACGTTATTAAGAAATACAGATCCTGTTCTTTCCCCGGCTCTTGAGTGTGGAATGTTATTTGGTGATGGAAAGCCTACTTCCTGCATCTGTCTGTACTGATTGTTCTGGGCTTGCCACCATATCTGTCCCGACCTCTTCATACCTAATGTTTAGTAGGAGTAAAGGAAGAGAAACCTTTTCGTAAGCCAGCAAATAAGTCTGGAAAGAAACATCACTTTTTTCATGTCTGACATATGCCCCTTCCCTACCTAGTAAGTCTGCCTTCATAATAATCGCAAGAACAGCAAATTAAGTGAAACCCACTAAATCCACTGTTCTTGACAGTGTATGCAACATTCCATGCCAACAGGTCTCCTGCCCCCTGCCCTTTACACAAAAGGAGGGAAGTGAGGCAGCATAAATTTGGGGAAAAGATTTCAATTTCAATGTTACTGCTTTGAAAATGAGGTTAAGATTATGAAAGCGAGCATCCTGTTGCCTTAAGAAGTACCTTCTGTTTCATAGAAAACTCATTTTTAATGACTCTTATATGAAGAATTCTATCAGTCCATGAATTGTTTTTATTACACAAAGTCTGTGTTGAGCTTCGTGATGAGGACAGTGTAATGAGGGCCCTCACATAGGAATTCCCTCCCCAAGGGATTAAAGGATGCCCACCTACCTTAGGGCACTGTCCAGAAGAGCTGTGTGTACTAGTCCCTAGGAAAGCAGTTGGTAGATGGACTAACCACATTACGTCTTACTAGGTGAGGGCGGGATTGATGGAGATGGAGATGTTACTCGACCAGAGAACATCACCGCTTTTCGAAATTTCGTTCTGGATAACACCGATCGCAAGGGTGTGCACTTTATGATGGCTGATGGGGTAGGTGATATTGCACTCTATGAAAAGTTCACCTCTTGCCACAATGCTTCTCTGGTGTTGCGTTCCTACTAAAGGGTTAAGATTGGATTATGTTGTCTTCTGACAGATGCCCTTGTTTAGGATGGGCATTGGTCTCTTAGTTGTAGCTCAAGTTTGGGATGGGGGGAGGGAGTGGGAAGGTAGTGCTATTTTGCTATGTGTATACATATGATTTTGTGAAGGCCATGGTCAAGGCTGAGGGGAGGGTTACGTGCACTGCTTCCCTTGGAGCAAGCTGGTATACTCAACTCTCTTCTTGTTTGGCCCTGAGACATAGCAAGTTAAGGAATAAATATAACTAAAATGAACCAGCCAGAAACGAAATAGGGAAAAGTCATAAATCATTTGTCAGTTTCAGTATTTCTGACAGCCCTTTTTGGATATATGCTATCCCGATTTAGCTGGTCTCAGAACTGTTTGACAGGTTGACAAGCAGAGATCCACTTAACACCCTCTCTTCAGTCCTCCCCCTTTAGTGCTGGGGGAGGAAGACAGTAGTGGCATGGAGGTAATCTGTAGTGGGAATCTACAAGTAGTTGAACTGTGGTGAATTGCTCAGGGACCCTGTTTCCAGGGCAACTCTTTAAGGGAGAGAGAAATCCATTGTAGTTTTCTTAGGCAAAAAGATTCAGTCACTACTAATTCAGCCTTCCAGAGAATCTTTGCTTGGGGTGAGTCACCATTTGTACTGGGCCAGGGCCAAAGAATGCTGGTCTCAGTTCCTTTTTTCTTAGGAGGAAAGAGGAAAGTCTTTAAAGGAACTAGTTTTAAGATAAATGCCAGCAGGTGCTCCAAACATCTTCTGTGTGATGTGTAGGCATAATTAGGAGCCTCAGAAGAGTGAGGGCAGCATGTCAAGGATGGCCTAATTTAAAAGATGTGGCACATCTGTGGTTGGCAGATAAGACTAACCTGAGGAACATTGAGCAGTTAGGAAACTAGCTTTGATCTGACTGGATGTGGGGCTGATATCATACATGGTGGTAGGAGCCAGAAACTGAAGGACTGTCTTTCCATGTATACAGTATGGAAGGATTGCTAGGTACTCCTCACTCTTTTTAGTCGTACTTTCATGCACATCTTCAGATTGGTAAAGTCCTACATATTTTTGGTATTGTCTCTCCTGGCTGTTAGCTCAGATGAGCTGAGCCAGCCTTTCCTGGTATGATTCCTGTTGAGGCTTTGGAAGAGACCAACTCCCTTGTTGCTTTCATGAGGCTAGGTCTATGTTCCCTTCATGGAGGCCAGGAAGAAGGAAATGACCTTGAGATATCAAGGACATTTAGTGACCAAGGACTCAGACCAGCAAGTGAGCCAGTTAAAGTGGGAAATGGATCCCTGGGAAAAGAGGCATTATGGCATAGAGAAACGCTTGTTTATTGTTATGTTAGCACCTTCTTTTTCATAACAATACTTAGAAATCTTTTGCATCCCCTGTATAAGGGCTGTTGAGTGGTCCTGAGTGGAGGAGCATTCGCAGGAAACTTGTTCCCTGGGTGGCAGGTGAGACTTTGCTGGGGACCCTGGAATAGTGTCCCGTCTTGCCATGCTTGCTCTACTTCTGGCTAGGCCAACAATGTAGTTCTGTTCTCTCTGATCTCCCCCCTTGGACTGCCATGCCAGCTTAAAGGGCTGCTGACTGGTAAAGGAAGCTCTATGTATCCACTGAAACTTTCATTGTGTTGGAAAGAACACTGCATTAGAAGTTGGGGACCTCCTGGGCTGGAGTCTAGTTTGGGCAAAGTCATTTGCCCTTGGAGTCTCAGTTGCCTCCTTGCAGAAGGGTTAAGAATTCCTATGAAGGAGGTAAGGTAGATATTTTGTGTCTGTGAAATTAAATAATGGTGATATGAGTACTTTGAAAAAATACAAAGTGCCGTAGTATATGTGGTATTATTTTGAGTTTTCATTGCCCATTCATGGTCCTTAATTTTGTGTTTTCCTTTCAGGGCTTTTCTGTGGAGAAGCAAGAAAACCTGCAGGAAATCCTCAGTAAGCAGCTATTGCTATGCCAGTTTCTCACAGGACTGTCTGTTATCCGCACAGGTAACACTTTCTTCCTCAGCTGTCTCATCACCTCAGGCCCCTCTCCAGAGTCACTCTTGTGTTGGGACTGAATGAGGGGTGAAAGGAGCACTTTATAGCAGTCATAGATACAAGTATAAAAATACCTGTTTGTTCAGATGATGATACATGGTTGAATTCAGGGAAGGAAGGTGAGAGGGACCTTCAGAAATCCTTTATAACTCGATGCCCTGATCCATTCACATCCTCTCAAGCAGCCTACTTTTCTGTGTTTGCCTTTCCCTATCCTCCATTTACAATGACTCCTGTGACATTCCTCCTTCTCCTTGCACCTTCCCTTGAGAACCCACTGATTATGACTGGTTCTGTCTCTCTAATCCAGGAGGCCACTTTGTCTGTAAAACCTTTGATTTGTTCACGCCATTCAGCGTGGGACTCATCTATCTGTTGTACACCTGCTTTGAACGCGTGTCTCTTTTTAAGCCTGTCACCAGCCGGCCTGCCAACTCAGAGAGGTGAGGTCTCCCCTCCTCTACATAGCCTGTCTGTCCAATAATATTGCTCAGGGAGCACCTCTAGGTGCCTTTCCCTGACAGGACAGTGAAAGATGGTGAAATGTTTTCCAACTGGGCATTGAGGTCTTTACAACATCATCGCCTAAACTAATTTGGCCATGAAATACCTTTGGGCCACAATTGGCTGTCCTCAAGTATTTGCAGGCCTGTCATATAGAAGAGGAATTAGGCTGGTTCTGCTTGGTCCCTGACGGCAGAATTAGGAGCAATTGGTAGAAGTTAAACAGAGAAAGATAAAGGCTTTATACAAGGAAAAAGTTCCTGACTAAGCCTTGCAAAAATGAAATGGCCTGCCCCAGGGCAGTGGAACTTCCCTCATTGAATGTCTCCTGAGTCCTTCCAGCTCTGAGATGTCTGTGATATGAAGCACAGTTTAATAGAAACCCTGGCTCCAAGATTTATCAGTCATGTGACCATGGGCAAGTAACTTAACTTTTGAACCTGAGTTTCTTTTTCTGTAAAATGGGCATAATAATACTTGTACTACTTGCTTTGCAGGGGTTTTTTTTTTTTGAGAAAAGTTCTTTCTTACACAACTAAAAATTAGAACTCAGGTGGGTTTCTTGAGGAACTGTATTTTATACTTACCATTCTCTCTTTCACCTAGCACAGTGCTTTGCATGCTTAAACACCTAATAAGTATTTGTTGATTGATGGAGGAGGAAGAGTGCTGAAGCATGAGTCTTCCGAACTGTTGAGAGTATATGTCTTGAAATCAACATTGAGATGGCCTTGGGAAAAGCTCAGTGCCAGCTGTGGGTTAGGAGGAGATTGGGCTGTCTGTGGCGCTCACTGTGAGGAATGAATGTCCCCTGGCAGGTACGTGGTGTGCAAGAGTTTGAAGTCTGGGATTGACGACGTGCGGGAATATCTCTTCAAGGTAAACAGCAGGCTCAATCAGCTTCGGAAGAGTGACATGGATGTCAACCTTGTGGTCCCCCTGGACGTGATCAAGTCAGACCCTGAATTTACTGACTACATGATCCGATCCAATGAGAGGTGAGGGGACAACCAGGAGCCAAGAGGTTCAGAGCCTGCTGAGCTCTTTGCCCCATGTGAGACCTGGTCAGCAGATTGGGAATTCTTCCCTCAGTGGTTTGGTTTCTACATCTCCCTATTCTGCCGAGATTCTTGTTTCAGGCCCTCATCCTGTGCCCAGTGCTTCCTCTCCTGCCGTTCTGTGTCATCACTGTGGTTAATGCCCCAACTTAGGAAATCACTACATGGAAGCATCTGTGGTGTACGAGGAAGTAGGACCATTGCAAAGGCTTCATCTCTCTCTTTCAAATCCCAAGAGGCAGAAGGAATTTCCTTTCATTGCTTCTGGCTGTGAATGGCCATTGCATTGTTTCAGCTGAAGCTTCCCTCTTCTGGATCATTGAACTGTCTTAGTTCCAGTCTCAGCCTGCTTTGGGAGGTCTTAGCTTCAGAGTTTTTCCCACTTGACTAGATCCACGGCTGCATTCTACCGGTTCTCAACTTCACTTGCCATTTTTAAAAAATTCTATTTAACTGGCATAGGTCTTCCACTTTATGTAGTGGTCTCCTAAGCAGGTGGGCCACAGACCAAATTTAATTGATTTATATTATAACTTGAGAGGCAGCATGGCATAGTGGATAGAGAGCTGGCCTAGAAATCAAGAAGAAGACGACTTGGGTTCAGAGTCCTGTCTCTAACACTTTCTGTCTGTGTGATGTTGGCAAGTCACTTACTTTCTCTACTGCTCAAGGCAGCTCCTTAAGACAAGGGTTCTTAACCTACTGTTGTGTTGAGTTTCAACTGAAGCTTCCCTTGTCTAGGGTCTGTGAACTTAAAAAAAGTTGGGTTTTTTTTGATAATTGTATTTTGAAATAATTAATTTCCTTTGCAATGCTATGTATTTTATTTTATGCTTTTAAAAAACATTCTGAAAAGGGGACCATAGGCTTCTCCAGACCTCCAGAGGGGGCCATAACACACATACATACACACACACTAGCACACATGCACACCTCTTAAGAATTCCTGCTCTAAGACTATAAGCTACATGGATAAGAAGAGTGTTTTTCTCACCTGAGAATCATCTGTACTGATGAAAAGCACAGGTTCCAGTTCCTGTCCAGTTTCTTCCAGAAAACTTATCATGAAATGTACTAACAGGCATTTTAAAGGCCCTTGGTAAAAGCTAGACTCTTATGTTGTCTAAAGAAGTTTAAAGTAATTGAAGAATGTTTGGAAAGACTCATGGTTGGGAGTTGAGAGGGGAGAATCTCTTTCCCTAATCCACTGTTAGTCTTCCTCTTGCTACATTCAGCCCATCCAGTAAAAAAGAGTCTCTTCTATTTGTATGCTTCTTTTAACTTTTTTCAAGACCCTTTCTCATGAACTATTTCATTGATACCGTGGAAGGTAAGGTAGGACAGAGGTTAATATCCCCTCGTGACGTGAAGAAAATAAAGCCCTGAGAGGTTAAGTAATTTTTTTGAGGTAACTTAGCTACTTAGTGGGCGAGCCTAAACTAGAATATGTTTTCTCCTATTTAACTTGGTGTTTTTCTCTTGGCTATACCACCTCCCATCTAGAATGAACATGAGGCCTATTCTTTAGCCACATTGTAATAAATGACTTTTAAGCCCAATCAAAAGGAGATGGTAGGATGGCTGATGGTAAAGGTCCTTTTGTCTCCCCATTCCAGTTACTCAAGCCACTGACTTCTTGCCTTTGTTTTCATAAATCCTCCTAAAGCCAAGTTGTTTTCTCTCTTTCAGCCACTGCAGCTCGCAGATCAAAGCCCTGGCCAAAATTTATGCCTTTGTCCAAGACTCGTGAGTGTTTCCCTCCTGGATGGAAGGGGGTTGTGTATACCAGGGGCAGCAGTTTAGCAAGATTCCTGGGACTGTTTCACCTCCAGCACCTTTTAATTCAAGCCAACATCTGTTAAGCACTTTGTTGAGTGTGTACAACGCTGCTAATCCGAGAGAGAAATCAAAGAAATATATGACATGGTCCCTACCCTCAAAGAGGGAAATTACAGTCTATTTAAGGAAAAAAGCTAACACATGAGAGATGCCATGAGGACAGTTAAAAAGCAGTGTGCTAACAAGTTCAGCATGATACCCATGTGTTTATTCAGGGTATATCAGTTTCCTGTGAGGTTCATAGCACTCTGTTAGGCACTGAGGGAGATACAAAGATAAATAAGATGTGAACCTTCCCTCAGTGAGATGATAAAAAATTAAATATGTGAGTGCCAAGGGAACACGGGGTATTAAAAGTAATCAGTGAAGTAAAATTAGTATAGAAAGACTTCCTGGAGGAGGTGAATTTTGATCCATTTTCATACCTTTCTTTATTTAGAGAAGCCTGGTGATTCCAGCCAGTTAAAGGAAATCAGTGTGGGTTTGGTTAGAATAGAGAGACCTGAAATGTGCTGATGGGGACATGGAAAGAAGGTATTTGGGTAAACTCTTAGCAGGCCCATAGCTTCCTTCCCCTTTTCAGCCTGGTTACAGGTGTCTCTGGATAACTAACCTCTAATTTCATGAGAGAGAAAGAGCCCCAGAGAAGTGTCATGAGCATCCTAGGCTAATGGTGGAAGAGTGAGTCAGTCTTCCATTTCTGCCTTTCCCCTGGGCCTGTTATACACATAGTTTAAGGCTTTTGCGTGTCATTGGTATGTTAATCAGTTGCTGACTTTTCCTACAGGACTCTTAGTGAACCACGCCAGGCAGAAATCCGGAAAGGGTGCCTTCAGCTCTGGGGGGTGAGTATATCCATCCAGGTCAGAGCCCAGCAGGCTGCTTCCTGGACTGCCCTAAAGGAGGGTAGTAAGTATTTTGAGCCTTAATGCTTTGCTGATTGCTTGCCCATCCATCAAAGACCAGGCTGATGGCTGAAAGGGACTGATCTGCCCTCAGTGAACTGTACCATCCATTCACTTGGACACTGTCCTCTGGGCTCTCCCTTTCTGCTCCCTCACTTAAGTGCTTTCCTGTGGCCAGATCTGGAAGTTGTTAGTCAAGGGGTGGTGGGAAGGTGAGGCAGAGTTTGCTATTGATTTTTCTGTGTAGCCATATTGGTCTCAAAGATTACTAAAGCAAACAGATGATGTCAAGGATAAGCTAACCCCAAGGGGCAATGGTAATTTGTGTTTAGATTCATGTTCAGTCCCTTCACCCTGGTTCCACATGGTAATCTTCTCCTCAGCTCTGCCCTGCCATTCTGGTCACCCAGATATACACAGGAGAAGATAGGACAGCCAGTGAGTCCCCAAACTAAAATTGTGTATCTTCCTTTAGATTCCAGATCAAGCCAGAGTTGCTCTCTCTTCTTCAGATCCAAAGTCTAAGTTCTTTGAATTGATAAAGGTGAGTGAGGTGTCTAGTATCATAGAGATGAGAAGGGGGAGAAATCCTTGAGATAGTCTAGTATGACTCCTCACCCACCCCGACCTTACCCCCAGGGGCTTGATTGTGTCATACCCCCTCTGTAAAAGCATTAGCACTGGCACCTCCCCAGCATCCCCAGGGAAGCTGTCCCATAGGCTGACAGCTCTCATCTCTAGATGCTACCATGTTAATTATCACTGTTCTCCTGAGCACAGTGATTATTACTGCTTTCCAGCTTACTTGACTCCTGTGGGATTCACCAGTACAGACTCCTACAAACATCTCTGTGGAAAATGGATTCTGCTTTGTAGGTGGAGAGCTGAGGTAGAGGAGCAGAGACGACTCCCCACCCCGCAAGTGCTAGCAAAAATTAGAGCTTAGGGTCAGGCTTACTGGCTTAGCCGTGGTTCACCAGGCAACTCTACCAGCAATTCCCAGGCTCTTTGTCTCATTCCTAGTTAGTAGTTCTTTGTCCCTCATCTTTCCCAATCCTGTGCTTTCCCTGAGTTTTGTTTGAATCACTGAGAGCACAGTAGCCCTTGTTCTGTGGGGATGTGGGACAAGTGGACCTCATGGAAACCCTAAAAAAATTGACTTTGTGTGTATTAAACTGAACAGGAAGGAGAGAGGCCTTAACTACTCTCAATAGACAAACAGCTGCAAAAATTCTTCCCTTTGGTTTTATTGGGGGGGGTGGCTTTTATATTCTGGTGACGTTTCCTTATAGCTGCTGGTGAATCGATCTGCATGCACTTGGGGACTCTGTTCTTTTCTTTCTCAGCTTCTTATAATAGGCCCTAAAGGAATACTGCAGACAAATTGAAATATATCCCATTCATTTGTGTGGTTTGGTCGGGGGAAGGTTCAGGTGGAACAGTGTTCAGGGTTCTGACTGGGGTGGTTCATCCTTCTAGTTTAACTGTCATTTCTCTCAATCCTACTTTTAGGGCACTGACATTGATATCTTCAGCTATAAGCCTACTCCACTCAACTCCAAAACCCTGGATAAAATTCGCTGTGTTCTGGACTACCGCTGCATGGTGTCGGGGAGTGAGCAGAAGTTTCTCATTGGCTTAGGGGTGAGTGGGTGGGTATATTTGTGCTTAGTTTCCTAGGTTGGGTTTCTCCCAACCCAGGCTGGTTCCTCTGCACCTTTTTTAGGACTGCTTCACACAGCCTCTAGAGGTTATCATTTTGCTACCTGGTAGTGTTTAGTGTTTGTTCTCTGTAGGAGCACACACTATATTTACCTGGCAGGTGAGATACCATGATCAGGAAAGTAGTTTTCCCAGAACTAGGCTCAGCATTACCCTTTGACTGTGTTGACACCTAGGATTTCCCCATGTGTCTTTACAATATTGAAGGGCCTACATTTTAATAAAGGGAGAAGAAACAAGTGTCCCTTTAGAATGTTAATGTCTTCAAGAATCATAGAGTTAAGTAAGGCAAATGGGCTGGGGGTGATTTTGTTCTGTTTTGATGGACTTAAGAGAAGAAAGAAGAGGAAAAATGGAACATGCTAGAAGAAAAGAGGAAAGGGGAAGGAACTTGCTATTTTACATAATAGGAGTTTATGAAATGAATAACGTAAATATGGAGTAAGGCATGGGGAGAATGGGCATTACATAAACCTTACTTTAATCTGAATCAGACAAAGGAAGGTTGATCATACAAACAAAGTTTGATGCAGAGATACGTTAAACTCAGTAGGAAAATAGAGGTGGAGAGAGAGACAGAGAGAGAAGAGAATGATATTTAAGAGGGAGGGTAGGATTAGTGAGAGATTAGTCATAAGAGAAATAAACAGTAATGTCAGAGCATGAAGGAAGGATTAAAAGGAAAGAGTAAAAACCTGTGATCAGGAGCAAAGAAGGGGGCATAGAGCAGAAGCAGAATGCTTCAGTTATTACAGATTACTAATTTAATAGATCACTAAAAAGAGCACATTTTTTTTCCTGCCTTCTTTGCAAAGAAGGGTTGGGGGAGGGTGGGGAAAAAAAGGGAAAAAATGCAAGAGAGATGGAGAGAAATTTAAAAATGACAGTCATAAATGTGAACATGAATGGGTTGAATTTAACCATAATAGCTGAATGAATTAGAAAACGGTATCTAACAATATGCTATTTGCTAGAAATACACTTGAAACAAAGGTTTACATGAGGTTAAAATAAGAGGATGGAGCAAAATCTGTTATGCCTCAGGTGAATTAAAAAAAGCAGAAGCAGCAGTGATCCTCAGACAAGGCAACAATAAAAAATATACCAAATTAAAAGAGAGAAACACAGAAACTGTATTTTGCTAATGTTGTAGGAGCACATCATAGAAAAGAAATATCCATACTTAACATATTTGTACTGAATGACATAGCATGTAAATACTTGAAGGAAAAGTTAATCACATTGCAGGTAGCAATAGCAAGAATATAATAGTAGGGAGAGGACCTTAATGTGGCCTTTTCAGACCTAGAGAAAAATGGCAAGATTGTAAACAAGAAAAAAGTTAAAGACCTGAATGGAATTTAAGAAAAGTTAGATATGATAGATTTCTTGTAATTATTGAATGGAAACAGAAAAGAGTATACATGTTTTTCAGCTATGTATGGTACCTTTGTAAAAACTGACCATGTATTTAGGGCATAAAAACCTCACAAACAAATGCAGAAAAGCGGGTTAAATTAAACACATTCTTTACTGATCATAGTGCAATAAAAATTACCGTATTTCACCAAATAATTGTCACAGATTTTATGCCAAATTTTTTGCAAAAAAGTGGGGTACGACCATTATATGAAGCTTTTTTTAAAAATAAATTGTGCCAGTATCACTTAAAAATCATTTATTACTAAGCTGTCTTTGGTGCAAGATTAGGATGCATGGAATACTCATGTTAAAATTGAATACTGACAGATGCATATACCCAAGAGATAAGTGCGTATCTATATGCCGCTGGTGAATACATTGCTGCTCTGTGTACCTTTTAAGCGGTGTGATGAACAGAATTATACCAAGCTACAATTATGTGACGAAAGGTTATAAACCAATTTTTTGGACTAAAAAAACCACAACACAACACAGAGTGTGACGATTGTGCAGTGAAATGCAGTATATTCAGAAAAAGACCTTTGAAGAAAGGATTCAAAATTAATTGGAGACCAAATAATTTAATCCTAACGAATTGGTGGATTAAAGAAAAAATAATAAAAGGCAATAGAAAATTTCATCAAAATAAATGACAACAATGAAAATGCATAACAAAACTTTGGGATGCAGCTAAAGCATCCCAAACTTAGGGAGAAGTTTGTCTCTGTAAACACTTTCATCAGTGAAAGAGAGAAAGAAGAGATTAATGAATTGGGCATGCAACTAAAAAAACCTAGAAAAGCAAAATATTAAAAAAAAAGACACCTAACATTAAAAATTTTGAAAATGAAAGAAGGGATTCACAAAATTGAAAGCAAAAAAATCCCACTGAATTAATAAAACCAGGAGCTACTGTTTTAGAGAGAAAAGAAACAAGTAAAATAAACACATAGTCTGATTTTTTAAAAAGGGGAAAATGAAAAAAGACAATTCACAACAATTGAAAATTAAGTAAAGGGGAAATTATCAGAAACAACTGTGATCAGTCATATGCTAACAAAACTAGATGAGCTGTGTTTTGGCCTGCTTTGGCAGTCATGCTGTGACTAGTAGACAACTTGACCTTTTCTTCGAACATGCTGATGATTGTCCTCATCTCTGCTAAAGGGGCTGCTCTGACTTTTGGAAACCTTTCTCATGCTTTTGAGTTTTCCTATGGTGTTTGACCTTTGGACATTGAGGTCACCAGGCCTGTCCTTATGCAAGTTCATCACCTATTTCCTTCCTTAGCTGTATAAGCCCCATCCTTTGCAGTTTTGCGATATGAGCTGAATGAGGAACAGCTTTGTAGACTGGCATCTTGCCTATTGGTTAAACATCTTTCCTGTACCTCCTCACTCTCTTGTATTTTCTCTCTAAACCATCTGGGTTTCTTGCCTTTTTTGTCCTTTTCTTATGAGCTTGTTCATGCTCTCATTCTTTTTTGAATACTCCATCTTTCCTTTCCATTCCCTTTTTCTTTCCCTGTCTGTGTTTTGGGCCTCACTTCCCCTGCCTTTCTCATCTTTTTCGTTTCATGTGAACCTCTGCTGTCTTCAGGGCCACTAATCAGACTGCTGTTGCTTGGCTGGGATGGACATCTGCCAAAAGAACAGAGTCAAAATCTGCATTGCTTTTCTGCGGCTGTCAAGGGAGGAGCTGCCATGTCATTTAAATAAACTTCCACAAGAAATTTCTTTTCTCCCCTGTTCCCCCTCTTCCCACTGCAACACACACCATCAGCTGTCAGGCAGAAAATAAACACATGGGTGCAATATTAACTAGAAGCCTTGACTGAGAATTAAGCCTCACCAGGCCCTGCTGCTTCTTGTGTGTCCTCCTGACCTAGTCCTTCCTTTCTGCAGAAATCCCAGATCTACACATGGGATGGCCGCCAGTCAGACCGTTGGACAAAACTGGACCTCAAGACGGAGCTGCCCCGGGACACGCTGCTCTCAGTGGAGATTGTTCATGAACTGAAAGGCGAGGTTAGAGGTGGTTTTAAGTTCATTGCTGTCATTGGCCTGGCCTTGTTCTTCCCTCTCCCTTTCTGTTTCATTCTGCTGGCAATAGATAGATACTTTGTGGGCAGCATAGAGAGGACCCTATTTGTTATACTGCCTTGAGTTACATCTGCCCAGCCTTCAAATAGAACAGCCACTATTGGTAAGTACTTCTTTGAATAAAGAAGACATATAACTCTATACAGTTAACTCGTAGTTATTTATGCTCATGCAGTCTTGCTCTACTGTCCTCCTTATCCATGTAACAACCCCCCCCCCAGTGGTATGGATAGTGCAAAATAGAAAAAGACATCATCTCCTTTGGCCTTGTATGTTTTGTTAAGGGTAAGGCTCAGCGGAAGATCAGCGCAATCCACATCCTTGATGCACTGGTGCTGAATGGCCAAGACATCCGGGAGCAGCACTTTAACCAACGGTATGGCCCAGAGCCTCGGGAGGAGAAAATAATGTGGTAGTGGGGGCTTGGAGAGCCAGACTCCAGCTTGACCCCCATGGAAGCTTTGGCACAGTATCAAAATGGGCTTCCTCCCCAATCTTCCTCTCACTTCTGGTCTCTACTATTAAGTGGTGCTAGGGGGGCCTCCTCCCCACCTGTGGTAGGCAGGGCTCTAGATGTCGCTCCAGCTTCCTCCTGAGGACCAGCTCCTTCCATGTGTTAACACAGCCACTCAGGTCAGTGGAGACATTTGTGCCAGGGCTGAGAGGAGATGACTCTTGTAGGTAAATAGTATTCACCTGAAGAGAATGCATTGTACAGGCAGCCAGGTGGCACAGTGGATAGAGCAACTGGGCTTGGAATCAGGAAGGCTCATCTTTCTGAGTTCAGATTTGGCCCCACATACTTACTTGCTGTGTGACTCTGGGCAAATCACTTCACCCTGTTTGCCTCAGTTTCCTTATCTTTAAAATGAGTTGGAGAAGGAAATGGCAAACCACCCCAGGATCTTTGCCAAGAAGACCCCAAATGGGGTCACAAAGAGTTGAACATGAATGAAAAGACTCAACAATAACAGTAGCTGAGGAGATGACTCTTACAGGTAAGAGGACGTATTGTGCAGGTGTGGCACTGTGTAACCCAGTTAGTTAATACAATTGAACCAGGCACGTTTTGCATCAGAGGGCTGGGGAGCACAGTGGAGATCAGAGGACTATGCAGCCCCCTCGGACAGCTTCATGTTCTAACTGGAGAATGAGAAGTTGTTTTCAAGGGAGGGTTCTATTGTAGGGAAGGAAGAGACAGTGATGCAAGTAAAAAAAAAAAGAGCATTAAGTAAACACTTTAAAAATCCTCCTGAAAACATAAGTAACACAAGGTATGCAACTAGAGTTCAGGCCTGGAGCTAAGGAGGGGGCCACATGGGATGAGACTTGCCTGAAGAAGACTAGAGGAGATGTGTGTGAGCTGGGCAGGTCGCACACTGGTGGCTTAGCACAGTACCTGGCTCTTGGTAAGTGATTGCTAGATGCTTGTCGGCTGGATGACTAGTAGCAGTAAAGGTGCCTAGGCCATAGAGCTGGAAGAGACCTTAGAGATTATAGATTATCTACAGCAATTTTCTTTTGATAGATAAGAAAACTAGAAACCCAGGTCACAGGTAATAAATGGCAGAGTTGGAATTTGAAGCTACGTCTTCTGACTTCAAGCTGCCTTTTTGCCTGTCTCTGAGAGACTTTTTGTTTTTTGTTGCAGAATTCAGCTTGCTGAGAAGTTTGTGAAAGCCGTTTCCAAACCCAGCAGGCCTGACATGAACCCCATCAGGTGTGTGAGTGACTGCCAGTGCTGCTATCTAGCCAGAGGTAGCCCTGCTGGGGACTGCTTTGGCACCCATCAACTCATAGCACAAAGGTGGCCTGTGGAATACAAGTGGAATCACACCTGTATTCCACTTATGTCTAAACATAGCCCTACTACTGGGGACACTGGCACTGCTAGGACCGCCTCTTTGCCTCCCAGGCAGGCCACTCTTCCCTCCCTCTCCTAACACCCTCAACATAACTTGCTTGCTACATTGTGTAAAATTCTGCCATTAGAGATTCATTCCTTTGGGTTAAAATTTTGTGTTTCCAAAGTATCCTTTGGACAATGTAAATGCCTCTGGCAGGAATAATAGGACAGTACATGAAACATCAGTTGTTCATGATGCCTTATTGAAAATTAACATTAGTGGGGGTTTTTCCCAACTGCTGGCAGCTATTGGATAGGAGGCTACTGAGGGAATGATAATTTTTATGAGAAATCGACGAAGGAATAGTTTTGGGGCATAGGATGTACATCCCTAGGTTCAGAAATGGGCAGCTTAGAGCTAAGGAGTGCATGTAGTAGCCCCATGGAGGGGAGGAAAAGGAGAACATAGAAAGAAGGAGGCGGGGAAGCAAGTTTCCCTTGCTTGTGCCAGGCCCTGTTGTGAGAGTCTGGCTAAAAGAAAAGAAATGAGCTCTTGTATTGTCTTCTGGGTAGTCGGCCCTGCTCCTTGAAACTGAGCAAGCCTGGATGCACCTGCTATAAAATTCCATATCCACTGAGTTCCTGCAAGGAAGCCTCCAAGATTCTTGGCTAGGGATTATGTGGTCCAGCATGACAGTTCTGTGTTATCTCTTCCAGAGGTATTTTCATTTTATAAAGGGTATTTGGGCACACAAATTTTAACTGCAAGGAATGAATCACTAATAGTAGGATTTTAGACATTATAGAAGGCAGATGGGGTGTTAAGTAGTCCAGTTTTGAGGGGAATTTCCCAACATCTGTCCCATACATTTTCTCAGGGGTTCTGGGGGAGTAGGGTGGAATACACTGGGGAGTTGACTGGGATTGATTACTGTCTGTTTGGCACACTTCTAACTTGTCTAATTAGGGATCTTCTTCTAGTACTCAATCTTGTTCTTCATCTAAGGTAGCTGGGGGTATAGGTTGTCTCCTAAGTAAGTGCAGACCAGGCTAAGAACGGATAGACATCTGTTGGGATTATTTGGCCTCTCTCTTTTGTTTGACCCCTTTTCTGCCCAATTATCATCATAGTGTCATCTTCCTAACTTCCACAGGTCAGGGTCCTTGTTGTAGGAATAGGATTGACCAGCCCTGATGCCTGGGGGACCTGTGTGAGGGAGAGGGCGTATAGAGTTGCTAGGAGGTGGATTGGAAAGTTTCCTATTCAGAGGAAAAAAGGGAAGAAGAGAAGGATGAGATTCAGATGTCAAGCCTGTTAATCTGCTGCTCAGCCAGATGGGCTATGAGTAATACCCAGGAAAGTTGGGGAATTCACTTCACATGGCCCTTTGTTTTCTTTCCTTCACCCCATCCCCACAGAGTGAAGGAGGTGTATAGACTGGAAGACATGGAGAAAATTTTTGTCAGGTGAGTAATTAGAAACAACCAAAGGTGTAGAACAACTTTTTTTGCCTCTCAATAAACCAGAATACCTTATGGTTTGGGAGAATCCAAGGTGGTTCTTGGGGTCAATCCTAGAGGCATTTTTGGTGGTTCCTAGGGTTCCTAATCTGCCCCTTGGTTCTGCCCCTGTAAGAGGTATGCCAGGCTAAATTTGCAAGGGGAGCAGGATGGCTAAGGAACTAGGGAGGTGTTAGAGAATCTTTACAGGTGAAGGCTACTATTCCACCTATCTATGTCTCACCCCCCCCGTGGGCCATGGGCACATCTAGGAACTCTGTGGCTGAGAGCTGATTCAGTCTAGTGTCAGGAGGTGGTGATGGGGCGGTTGGTTCTCAGGCAGAAATACGGGCTCATTGAGACTGTAAATAGTTAAGAGTTTTCCCTTTGAGAAGCAGGGTGACAGATTGGATGAAACATAAATCCCAGTCCTTGCTGGGTCAGCAGAGATTGAGTTGCTTCCTTTTTTTCCCTGTAGTGGCGTGATCCATGTGAATGCATCTGTGTGGGTTGCTAAACATGTGTCTATGTGGGTTGGTCTGTATGTGAGTCTTCCTATGTCCATATATCTGGATGTATCAGTGTATGAGCTGGAGCCAATGATGGGCTGCGGATCTGAGCCGCAGCTCTTTCACCTAAGCTGCTATTTGGTTCTTACTGTTAATTTAATTGCCATATGCAAGGTGGAAGGGAGGACTGTGCGTCCCTAGCAGTCATTTATGTTAATTACACACCCTTGGCAGTAACATCTTGAAACTCAGAGAACAGCAGCACTCATATGTGTAAAAATGTCATGTGTCATAGCAGGGGTGTGCTCACCTGGCCCAGCAGGACACATTCTTTGTGCTGGTTATGTGATGCCAGGCTAGGCTCGAGGAATTCCTCCATCATCAAAAGTGGAAGAGGCCAGACAGACCATGTAGTCCAACATGGTCATGTTGTGCAGGGGAGAAATTGATTCACCCAGAGTCATGCAGCCATTTAATGACTTTCATGATCCTCAGGCCAGTTTTTTAGGAAAAAATACCATGAGACCTGTGTTTTAATTCTGGCTTTGCTGCCAGCTCACTGTATGACTGCAGGCAAGTCCCTCACCTCTTTGCACTTAAGTTTCCTCATTTGTCAGATGGGGATAATAATAACATACCCTATCTAACTCATGAGATTGCTGTGAGAATCCACTATGACAGGGGCAGCTAGGTGGCAGAGTGGATAGAGCACCGGCCCTGAAGTCAGGAGGATCTGAGTTCAAATCCGGCCTCAGACCAAACACTTGCCACTTACTAGCTGTGTGACCCTGGGCAGGTCACTTAACCCCAGTTGCCTCAAAAAAAAAAAAGAATCCACTGTGATAATGAAATGAAAGCATTTTGAGGACTATAAAGCTAGGGATTATTATTATTATTATTATTATTATTATTATTATTATTAATAGATATGGGTTCTATTCATCCTCCTATGACCCAAGACATATACATGCAAGATGACTGGGAAAATCTAAAGGTATATAAGGTTTATGGCTCCGGCACAGTTTTTTTCCATGTTAAGTGGACCAACCTGGATAGACATTGAAGCCATGGCTTTATTAGTCCTAAGTTCACTGGCTCAGACTTTAGATTTCACTCAGTATGAATATCTGTGTTACTGCTAATAGCACAACAATCATATTTATTGACTGCTGCCTGTCAGTGGGTGTGGTGTATAGAGACTTAGGCTTAGGGTTGAGAATAGGTCTTGTGCCCCCATGGCAGTTCATTCCTGAGAGTTGTGGTTGAAGTGGTGATTGCTCTGATGGTTTTGGTGTTCGCCAAGATTTATGAACACAATAGGAAATCGTTGTTTGTTTCTCTTATCATGTACTTCTTTCTCTATATCTCTGCTTCCTATGGGAATGCAGGTTAGAAATGAAGGTCATCAAGGGCTCACATAATATGCTTCGACTCAGCTACACCGGACGGGATGATCGACACTTTGTGCCCACTGGCCTCTACATTGTCAGGACTACAAATGGTGAGTTTTCCTCCTACCCTGACTTTCCTCCTCCCGCATTACCTCCTAACTCCTTTGAAAACCTTACCCTCGCTGTTGCTTCTCAGGCTTTGGGTACAGATTGACTTGCTTTCTGTGATCCATAAGTTGACAAAGCTGTAATGGCCAGCCAGACTGTCATTAGCTAAAGTATCTGTTAATGCTATCTTGCCCTCATCCCGACCCTGTTCTGTCCCTTGGCTGGACCTCACTCTTCTTTGTTCCCCCTGGGCTAGGGAGGAAGTGTTGGGAGGCAGCTTCAGGAAGAGTTTTACCCAGTCCCAGAGCCCCTTGTCCCCCTGCCCCATTTGAACCCACTTGCTGTTTCCCTTTTCCTCCTGGGCTCTAGCAGCATATTATCACTGCCCAAGATGCCAGTAGGCTGGAAGACACAGATGGTCCTGACGTTATAATCATCCTCACTATTATTATTAGCTTGGTTTTGTTATTGATAATTATTAACAAGAAGAAGAATATCTTAGTGTTTACTCTGGTACCACTTTGGGATGGTGGTGAGGTTCAGATATTCAGCTACTACCCTTCGGGCTCTTTGCTGGGAGAGAAAGGGGCAAATGAGAGCTGAGGGAAGGGATGCTCCCTGATTGTTAGCAGGCTGCTTACCAGAGTGCCCATGAAACCCTAACAAGTGTCCTGAGTGTCCCACGTGAATATTGAGCTGGGCACAAGTCGAGAGACAGGAGGATGGAAAGGTTGGAGAAGGATAGTGTAGGACTTTTCTGAAAACTCTGTTGTTTTTCTACTTTGAAAGAGAGCAGTTTAGTTATCATACCTCTTGGACAGCATGAAGACATTGTACAAATGAACATTTCTGGGACCAAATTTTAACCAGGGTCAGAATAGGATTAAGATAAACTAGGCCCAACAACTAAAGCTCAGTCTATAAAATGGATTCTGTCACCTACATTGACAGCTGTGTTTTGCCTGTCCTCCTCCTGCTTAGAACCCTGGGCCATGGCATTCAGCAAAAGCTCTAACAGGAAGTTTTTCTTCAACAAGACAACGGGGTTTTCTACTTTTGAAATGCCTCTGGACGCCATTGCTCCATTTCAGTAAGTGATGCTCTCCACCTTCCTTACCCGCTTTGTCTCTTTTCCTTGACTCCCCTTCCCTTTCACGTATGTCATCTCTACTTCTGCCAGGTACTCTACCCCATGTTCACCTTTAGTACCATGTTACTTGTTGCCATGGCTCAGGCAAGTGCTGAGGAGGGCCTGGCACCCCACTGTTTATTTCCCTCCTCTCCAGATTAGATTCTATTTCTTTTTTTTTGTTTGTGTTTGTTTTTGTTTTTAGGCAATTGGGGTTAAGTGACTTGCCCAGGGTCACGCAGCTAGTGTCAAGTGTTTTGTCTGAGGCAGGATTTGAACTCGGGTCCTCCTGACTTTAGGGCTGGTGCTCTATCCACTGCGCCACCTAGCTGCCCCAGATTAGATTCTAGAATGTACGTAAGGAGATCCTTTTCCCCTAGGCAGGTAGAAGGAAAGGAATGGGATTAAATCTTTGGCCCCAGATGTGGGAGACTAAATGGAGAGAAGTAAGTAAGGTTGGAGAATTAATCAGCAAGTATTTCGTAAGTGCCTGCTCTGTACCAGGCATTATGCGTAAGCCCTGGGGGTACAAAGAAAGGCAAAAAAATCCAGTTCTTGCTCTCAAGGAGCTCACAATGTAAGCAAAGATGGTTGCAGAGGGAGGGGATAGGATAGACTCTTGCAGGGAAACAGAGGAACCTTTAAGAAGACTTTCTCCTCCAAGTCTCCTGCCCCCTGGGCTTACCTAGACATATTAGACATACCCATGGACCTTCTCTTAGTACAAGGTCTCTCCTTCAGCCCCTAAAGCTGTAAGATTGTGGTTCTGGGTTTTGGTTTTTTTTTTAACCTCCCAATTGGGATTTTTTTTCTTTTTCTTTTTTTTTTAAACCTCTCAACTGTGCATTCTCTGGGTGGGTGAGTGGGTGACTGCTCAGAAACAACTGGTTGGTGCATCCTATTCCTTATGCAGGAACTCCATGAAGGGAGGGTGAAGGTGTGTGCTGAGGCAGATTCCTCTTCTACCCTGCCCCATCTGCCAGCCCCTGACTTGGGGCTTCTCCTTTCCTTCGTCAGGGTAAGGGTACTAGCCTATATACACCTTGGACAATAAAGTTTATATAGACTAGATGTCCTTGGGTAAAGAGGAGAGGGTCCAAGTGTATGTATTTACACTGACTGATGCTACCAGGTGTTGGGGTAGTCCTGAGGGAGTTGGAGCCTGTGAGGCAGTGCATTGGGATGGGCATTGTCCCCATGATGGGGAACAGAGCCCCAAGGCCAGCTGCCCTCCCTACTGTCCCAAACCACTGCTTCCTCAAGGCTTCTCAGGTCTTTCCCATCAGGCTCTAGGATTCATTTACTGAATTGGGTAGTTTTCCCAAATAGCAGGCAGCAGAGCACTAATGTGCCTGTAATTAGCTATTGATACTTGCACTTATCACAAGGCTAATACAGTTTTGTTAGAACAGGACAGACATGTAAACCATGAATATGAAATACCAATCATTGACCCAGTAGCAAATTAGCACCAGTAACATTTTTTTTTTTGAGAATGGTAGAGGGCAAGGGTGGATAGTGAAGCAGGCTGGAGCTGGGACCCATTGGGAAATCCTTTTGTTACTATAGGTAAGGAAGAATCTTGAGAGATTTGTTCAGTCAGTCCCACCCCTTTTTGAAGGGAACTCTCTTCCCCCGCCTTCAGTCTAGCCTTCTACCACCACCCTCTGCTGTCTGGTCTCTAGTCCCGCTTTTCTCTCCAAGACAGTCCCATTACTGGCCCTGTGGCTCTCCCCACAGCTAGGCCTCCCTTTTGACTAGATGCCAAACCAGGGTTTGGCTCTTCCTTCTTTCCTCACCCTCATTAATCCTATCCCATCCAGCCTATTAGCCCCACCTAATGGTCTCTCATTCCTCTCCTCTCTTCTCTTCCCCCAGCATCTGCTACTATGGGCGGCTCTTCTGGGAGTGGGGCGAGGGTGTCCGAGTACACGACTCTCAGAAGTGCCAGAATCCTGAGAAATTGTCGAAGGATGACATCCTCTCCTTCATTCGGGAACACAGTGTCTGAGGATCCAGCCCAGGAGATCGTGGCCACCCCTGAGGACCCTTGGCTACTGTCTGAGAAAGGAGGGAGGGGGGCTGATTGTCCTATTTGGAGCAAGATAACAGCAGATAAGACAGGTCACTTCCTCCTTAGAGGAGAAAGAGTGGCATTCAGTGCACATCAAGGATAAGGCGATGACCCTCTCACCCCTGCGCATCCTGGATTATATCTTTCCCTTCCCCCTAGGACACTTTGTGAGTATTTGGGAGGAGCTAAGGAAGTTGGTATTGCTTTTGCTCTTGGTATAGCCCTTTCACTTCCCATCCTCGGAAGGACACGGTGGGAACTTGCTCCTTCAGGAGCATGGCCTAGAATGAAGCTGTCCCCCTTGTTTGGTCATTAGAGGGTCAATTCCTGGGTATGTTGGCTGGCTTGGGAGCAGAGGCAGAAGTTTTAGGGCACCTGATGAAATATCCTTGCTGAAGTATCAGAGCTCCTGGAGTTTCTTGCACTTCTCCTGGCCTGATCCTGGCCTTTTGTTTGGGCTTTCCTGGGAGTCCTTCCCTTTCAACCAAGTAGCTGAAGAAGTACTCAGCAGGATCATGAGCAGAGGAAGAAGGACTGTGACTGTTGGACATGTCAGTTCATGTATCTACCCCTTGCCCTTGCCAGCTCCCAGAACCTGACCTCTGATAGACTTTTTTCCTTTTTTTTTTTTCCTCCCTTTCACTTCAATGTGAATGTCCACTGGACTATCCAGAACTGCCTCCTACCCCATCCCCACTTCTGGTAGGGGGGATTTGCCCAAGTAGGGCAAACAACTCTAAAAGTTGATGAAGCAGCTGCCAAATGTTGCCCAGGCATCTTGTCCAGGAAACAGTGGCCCTGCCTGTGCCCTGGAGGAGTACCTTTAATTGTGGGTGAAGGGATCAGTGCCCACAGGAGTCCCTGTGGGATACTGTCCTGTCACAGCATGATGCCCAGCCCGGGGGCTTGGCCCAGGTCTCTGTGTGTTGCCAAAGATAAGATGCTGGGAGGGTTTGAGTGGAGTTTCTCAGGCCCGAGATCATTCTCCTCCTCTCTTTTCTCCGCCAACAAAAGGCACAACTTGCTTTCATGGGGTCTTCAACTCCCACCTCTCCCATGCACACAGCGGGTAGGGACCGTAGGTCCTCAGTGGAGGAAGGAAGCACGTCTGTGAGCTGTTTGATGAGAAGCTCGTCAGTGCTCTGTATAGCAAACTGATAATATAGTTCGCTCTGCCTTCCCTGGGGCCCAGGCTGGAGGGCCCGAAGTAAAGATTCCCTTTGCTGGGCTTGTTTCCATGGTGATAGGCAGAAGGTTGCAGGGTGGGGGAGTGTCTCCACTGTGTCCGTGGGGTGGACCACCAGTCTTCCTCTATCCTGCATTTGGTAGTAGTAGCCCTGCCTACCAAGGTAGCTTATTTCCACCCAGTACTGGGTTAGGGGTATGTGTACGTATCTCATGGCGCCTCAGATCATTAAAGGAAAAAGATATTTTTAAAACCTGTGTAATGTTGTACTGGTGGTTGGCAGTTTGTGCTTGGTACTTTGTAGCATGGGAACTGACTGACTTGGCTGAAGACTCCTTGGGCTGTGAGGTGATGCAGAAGCAGCCGTCTGAGGAGAGAGGCAAGTGAGGGAGCTTTAAAATCAAGAGGCTCGAACATGCTGGAGAGTCTGGTGTTTCCATGTTGCAGCAGCAGAGCATGGAGCAGAGACAGTGGGGAGGATTTGACTGTCTTCCTGACAAGGCCGAGGTGGAAGGACCTGCCTTGCTCAGTCACATAAATCACACAGCTGGCCAGCTGGTGGCACATCCACAATCCAAGATCTGTCTGGGAGACTAAAATAGCAGAAGCAGCAGACTAATTAATGTCACTTTAGACTCTGGAAGGAGAGTAGGGAAGGATGGCTTCACTGACACCCCTCCCCCGCCCCCAGCCTCTCACACTGCCTCCAGCGCCTGGACTGCTCTAAAGTGTGGCTCTTCTCTGCCTCTTCCAGGACCTAGTCACATTACTGAGTGGTTTTGCCCTAGCATTTTTCTCAGAGTACTTCTCTTCCCCTTCCCCCAGCCTCCATCCCAATGCTTCCCCCTCCTCCCTTCCTCTAGGGTTCTTCCTTAATGTTTCTACAGCCTTCACTTCCCCCAAGGAGTTCCTCTTTTCCTCATTGCTTTGCATATTTAATTGGTTCAATCTTGCCTCCTTGCTGCGTGAGCCCCTTCATCATTTTAGTTGCTTTGCTCTGGCCTCCCTCCAGCTGCCTTTGTCTCCCTCCCCCCTTTTCTGTCCCTTGTCCCCATGCTTCACAGCGGAGGAAGGCAGAGCAGGTGGGGTCTGGCTTGGCCAGTGATGTCTCTGTTTGTTGTGCCTGAACTGCCCGAACCTGGCTGCTGTCAGTGACTTCACCGACCTGTGGCCATCCCTCACTGCAAAGCCAATTCTGATTTACTGGCCACTGTCACCCATATGTCTGTCTGGTCATTACCATGGCTGCTGCTGCTGCTGCTGCTGCTCACTCACAGCAACTTCTTTCCCTCCAAAATGGATTAACTCTCTGGTCCCTTGGAGCTTTGTGGCTGCTTTGGGCCCCTGAGTTTCCCTTTGCTGTACAGTCCCAGTGGCCTCATTTTTCTACAGTGATTGAAGGCTCTGTTGGGTGGTTTGAGAGCACCCGAGGGTGAGGGCAGCTGACAAAAGGGACTGTTGAAAAGAGCATTTGGAAGCTGTCACTTTGTCCCTCAGGCCTCTACCAGATGCCTCTGACTGGGTACTTCTTGGGGCTAGTTCCCGAGTCCTTTCCCCAACATTTCCTCCCTCTCCCCAGTCATCCCTTCAGCTTCAGGAAGACTGGCATTTACTTGACAAGCAACTGTCTGAACATTCTTTATTGGCCATTCTCCCCGGGAGGAGCCAGCACCATTTCCCTGCTGACATCCAGGCCCCCCTGTATGCCAGGCGGGTGGAGTACGAGACCTGGTACCAGAATCTTGGGTTCCATAGGGACGGCCCCCTGGGCCTTGTTAGCATCCAGGCCTAGATAGTCAGGTAGGTGTCTTTGGGAGTCAGCAGGTAGAGTCCAGAAAGAGGGACCAACTTTCATTGTCCTAGTCCAGCTGTCCAAAAGCATCATGGCTTCCTGTGGTTTGTGGTGGAAACCAGTAGGGTCACATAGTCCAGTAGGCATAGGCGAGAAGGAGGAGCAAGAAGATTGCCACAGATAGCAGCGTGTTCTTACGGTTCTCTCTCCGAAGGGACTTCAACTCCCTTTCTGTGAAGAAACCCCGCAGTGTGATGGGGGAGGGGCTGCCTTTTTCACAGTCCATCTCCAGTAGTGACTGCCTATCTCTGCACCCCAGGATTTGGGAGCACCTGCCAGGCCCTGTCCCTTCTTGGTCAACACCCACCCCACTGTCCTTGTTCAACCTAGCTCTCTACATATACCCTTGGGGCCCCCAGAATTTAGCTCAAGTAGAACCTTGACAAGCTTTTCACCCAAGCCCACAGTTACATTATCTTCTCCCCTTCAATGCTGTTTGAGCCCAAAAAGGATGTCCAAAGTAACTAGGGGGATAGAAACCAGGGATGGAGGACAGACCTTAGTATGGGGGAAACCAGGGAAGGGGGGGGGTGTCTCTAAACCTTAATTAGTAGCTATCATTGAAGAGTCATAAAGCTAAATTGTTGGAGCTGAGAGAGCCCTCAGAACTCATGTAAGAGACTACAGTGATGTATAAAACCAAGTAAATAAAAATATAAATAATATAAATAATAAATAAACATTTACAATACAAGGAGTGGGGAGAAATCATGTAAGAGTATCGAGTTGTAGACCAAAGGGAAGACTTGCCCAAGGTCACATCATTCAAGGGAAGAGCCAGGATGAATCTATGTCTGCTTTCTGGGCAAGGAATTACTTCTCTCTAATTCTTCGAGGCACGTAACTCATCTCCAGTAAGTGTATGACTATAACAGAAAGGACCCATTTAAATAACGTCCTTAGATTCTGGTCAGGCCCTGTAGTCTCTCGACAGATACTTAGTAATACTGGGTGAACTTAACTGCAGTGTTACAGTCTAATTCCTGGTTCTGTGTAGACAGAGAGGCCAGCTCTGGGAGTGAGAGGAAGTCTCAGCCTCTGGTGTGAAGACAGTGAGGACAGGGAGATGAACCCTGTCTGCACTTGTAGGTTCTAAACTTTTCACTACCTACCCCACCCCTTCCCAACCAAAGGATATCAGGGTGGGAAAGCTGTCAGAGGGGCTAGGCAGGCAAACCTAGGACCTTTTAAAGCTATTCACCTGCCTTGAGACTGCCTAGCCCACTTCTCACCCAGAAGGAGCTCTTCTAGCACTGGTTTGGGTTCCTACTGAAAGCCAACATGGTCTAGTAGAAAGAGTACCTGACTTGGAGTCATGAGACTTGTGTTCGAATCCTGCTTCGTACTCACTGGCTATGTGACAACATGGGTAAGCTACAATTTCAGAACCTCAGTTTTCTTATCTAATAAAATAGGAACAGAGCTGAAAGGGACTTCAGGCCATCTAGTCTGACCTGCTTTAAAAATGAGGAAACTGAGGCCCAGAGAGATTAAATAACTTCCCCAAGGTCACACTGGGTAGCAAGCTTGAGGGGAGATTTGAATCCGGGTCTGCTGACCCTTGAGCCCCTGATCTTTGGCTAGGTCTGGTCCAGTCCAATCCCACAATCATTTTTAAGTGTCTGTCTATTATGAGCATTAGGAAGACAGACAAAAGGAGCTCCTCTTCCCCAAACAGTTATACTCTCCTGGGGTGGAGTGGGGTAGATATATATTATGTAAACAGGCAAGTACATTCATGACTGGCTGAGAAAGAGAGAGGATTAACAATTGGGAGAGTGCATAGGCAGCCTATGCAAAGACACAGAAATCTGGCAAACAGTAGGCTTCGCAGTTTGGTATACAATGTGTGAAGGGATTAATGTAAAATAGCCCTGGAGCCAGACTGTGAAGGGCTTTAAAAACCAACTGAATTTTGTACTTTTTCTTTGAGGCAGTAGGGAGCCACTGAGGATTCTTGAGTAGGGGAGTGACCTATGATTTAAGAATATTATTTTGGCAGCTGTGAGGAGGATAGATTCAAGAGGTGACATCCTGGAAACTGGGAGTCCAAATAGGAGGCTCTTAGAATAGTCAGGACAGAAGTGATGAGGGCCTGAACAAGGGTGGGATCATGTAAGCAGACACATGTGGAGGGAGAAGAGTGGAAGAGGACTCCAAAGAAGCAAACTAGGCCGAGTTCTCCTGAAAAACACTGGGATGGGGGTGGGGTGGGGTTTGGAAGTGGAAGGAAGCTCAGAGCTCATTCAGTCCAACCCATCATTTTTCACAGGGGAAAGAAGAGCTTTGGGGAGGAAGTGGCCCCCAGATGCTATAGCTCTCTATGCCTGCAGACGTGCAGAAGCTAATTCAGAAGACCTCCTTTCTCTGGTAGGAGAGGATGGTGATAGCCTCAAAAGAAAAGAGGAAGTTTAGGAGTTGGTGGGGATAATGAATATCTCACTATGGCGGTTTTAAGGAGGGGGAGATGGACACTTTTCCTGCAGGCTGTCTCCCACCCTGCCCTTGGAGTTGGGGGCGGGGATAGTGAATGGGCTTGTCACAGCCCAGCTCGGTCTCTGATTCTTTCCCCGATTCTCAGTTCAAGTTCTGGCAGGGTCCTGTTACTGCAGCCCAGCAGGTGGCAGCCTGACCCCACTCTCTGGGTTCTGTGTGCAAGAAAAGGCAGAAGGGATTGCCAGCCCGGATCCCTGGAGAGCAGCAGGGGTATCTATCCCACTGAATACTGAAGGAAGAAAGGCACTGGGAGAAGTTTGGGGAAAATACCCAGAGAAGAGGCATTTTAGCATATCAGAGCATCAGAGCCAGACGGGGGCCTGGAGAGCATCTCCCTTCTGATAGGTGCAGAGAGGTCTCAGAACGGGGAGGGGCATGGAGGGAATGCCCCTCTTCCTATCTGGCCACAGGCAGGCAGACGGCTACCTCGCTCCTTTCTCTTCTTCCCAAGGCCCACATCAGCTGCAGGCTGCTCGGGATGGAGAATCGCGCCTCACCAAAACTCTCTCTCCCCCGCAAAGCCAAATGAGGCCAGTGTTTTCCAGTCTTGGAAAATCTGCTCATTCCTTCCTTCCCCTTTCCCTATGTGGCTCTTGAGCAGCCTCTCCTACCAGGGAAAGGAGGTCTTCTGGATAAGAGTCTGCACGTCCACAGGCATGTACAGCTATAGCATCTGGGGGCCATTTCCTCCCCAAGGCTCTTCTTCCGCATGTGAAAAATGGTGGGTTGGACTGAATGAGCTCTGAGCTTCCTTCTACTTCTAACACCCCCCACCCCACCTCCATCCCAGTGTTCTTCAGGAGAACTCAGCCTAGTCCCCTGCTACCTCCAATTCTCCCCCTCCTAGGGGTTTGATGCTATATTGCCAATGGCAGATCTTGTGTATATGAAACCTTGGGTTTCCC